ATGCCAATCCTGTTTTCTTGTCCTTCCCCTTTTTAGACAGAATTCGTTTTTGTCACCCCAATGCATTTCACATCTTACATGTACTGATATTTGTTCATGTTATTACCTCCGCCAAGGAGGTTATGTTTTTATCGGGTTTTGTTGGTTGGTTGGTTGGTTGGTTGGTTGGTTTGTCTGTTAACAAGATAACTCAAAAAGTTATGGACGGATTTGCATGAAACATTTATTTTAGGGGTAGTCCTTGGTGCAAGTACAAATCCATTAGATTTTGGAAGTGATCCGGATCTGGGTCTGGATCCAGGATTGTTTTTAAGGATTCTTCACCATTTATGCGAGTATTTCTTTGGGGTTTACTGACAATATGGCGGGGAATTGTTCAGCCTTGGTGGAGGATTGCGCTCTCTGAGTGCTTTCTAGTGTGTTCATGTGTTAAAATAGCCAACAATTTTGCATATGTAGTGGCCCTTCCCTCAGTCACTTTTACAAATTTCCATGTTCATGAAGTGCTGTCCAAAACGTGAAATTTTCTTCATCTACTCCAAACCCTTGTTGGATATCGATACTCTCTCCTTCCGAAAGAAAATTACTACAAATGTAATTCTGAAATCCTTATTCCTAAAGTATTTTTCCTAGGAGTCCTCTCGAATTCAATGGAATGTTCCACTTTACAAGAAACCAATATCACATTCAACATAGCTTTTTATAAAATACATGTAATATACTGGCTCAGATCCTCTGTGCTCAATCCTGCACAATCCTCCAAACCTCTTGTGAATTCTTAACCCCTTAAGGACGGGAAGCGGTCATGGCCGCGGCCGCTAATCCTCATTGGAATGCAGTTGCCATACAGCTGTGGTATGCCGTGGCACGCGGCTAGTGGGTAGTTCCACAGCTGCTGCTTTTGTGCAGTCCCGCTACCACACAAAGGCTGCAGTCATGCGGGCCACTTACTCTATGTGTGGAGGAATGTCCCCATTGGTTACACCTCTATGTTCCGACACCCCTATGTTCCGACTGCACATATTCCTATTCCTAACCCTAACCCTAACCGGGAGTAACACAATCTAGGTTGTCGGAACATAGGGGTGTCGGAACATAGAGCAGTCACCGTCCCCATTACACCCCGTCCTTAAGGGGTTAAAGAGGATCTCTGGGGTTAAGGCTTATTGCAAAGGAATGCAAGATGCCCTTTCTGAGGAGAAAATTATTCAGTTTTGCCCCAAACTTTGCAAGGTCTGAAGCTTACTATATTCACAATGTTGAAACACAGTAATACAACCCAGACAAGTTAGACTCTGAATGACCGTATCCCTGGCAGGAAAGTTGTGTCACCTGACGCCAGAACCAGCTCCATTACACTGAAAGTAAATATTAAGTTAAAACATTGTTTTAATCAAGAGGGTATCGGTGTCCGGTGGGGTATACAGTTTCTTTACTCTGGCGTCATGCGTTTTAAGTGAATGTGTCGCGTGCCATTTGTTTATTCAGAATAAAGACGCGACAGCTCATAACTAATGCACCATTCTGGAAGCATCTTCTTGTGAGGGATTCCCAGTTGGGTCAATTCCCAGTTGGTCAATCACCTCGGCCCAGTTCAGCACTCATATCCTGTTTGCATGAATAATTGAAGCTATCCCGAGATGCCTGTCATTCCAGTGGCTTGCGTTATGGCTGATACCTCTGCAACGGTGTGGCATCTGTCAGTGCCATTACACAACGCCCGATTTCGTGGAAATAATTTCGAGCAGCACCAAGGCAATGTCCTATCTCTGTGTGAACACAAAGCACAGTAATATCATTTGCAATAACCTGACAAGGAAATGTTAAGTATTTTGAAACCTTATTTCCGGGGAATCACGGACAGGGCTGATGCAAAATTGTTACCGATTCAAAGAATTTTTCTTGAAGGAGCCTATCTCTGACCATGACTTGAGATATAAAAGCCATCAACTAGATAAGTGGTTTTCCAAACCGCAGCATGTCTCTTACTTCAGCTTCAGGAGATATCAGGCCCTTGACTAGGGAACTTTTATTCAATATCGCTCCATTTTTTTCTGGAGGAATATTAAGTTCAATAATACAAGTCCAATAAGAAATCATAAAACACCATCTGCACGCAATTTGTTTTTCTGCAGCATACATCATATTTTAACCAATCACATCACGCACTCTGACATGAATATTTATCACACTGTGTGGAAGACAGTTAGGTTCACGGAATCTTGTTTTCCCTTAATTTAAAATTATTCCATCTATAAATTTGGAGAACAACAATAGTCAATGAAAAATTGACATAGGTGGATTTCCAACCAGAGATCTTGCGATCCATAGTTCATTTCACTATCCACTAAGCTACTGTGGCAGCTTGACGAAAGCTGCTTTTTAAAATGCTTTAATGTACATGTACATATAACTTATTGACTTAGTAACAACAATGGTGTGATGCAATTGTTATTTTCTAATGAAGAAACATAAAGTTCCCATCAACGGAATAAATACTGAACAAAAATGCGGCACCTCTCATCACCTTCAAGCATACATCTCATAATACCCTCTAAATTAGTGTACAATTTGTAGACCAACTCGGACCTGATAATTATTTTGTTTTCATTATCCGAGCCTGCCACTTTTGCTTACAGGGTTTTAGTGATGAATTACAGTCTCGCCTTTTTGATTCTTAATGTACCAAGACTGGTAAAACAATCAACCGATACTCGCGACTCTGTGGGGATTTCCACCGAAGTCTTCCCAATTTCCTCTTTCACAGTTGTTCTGCTTCGGGCCTTTTTAATATGATCTCTTGTTTGTGCTTCTCTGAGGGTGTTTCTGCAACATAGACGGAGATCTGCTTGGGCCTTTGGGGTGCGTGTGTTGCACTCGTTCTCCAGAAACCAACAAAATATCATTCGTGATGGTACATTACCCGATGTTCACTGCACACGTGAATTATGGGTGGAGTATGCATTTCAAACCGTCCTTAGTTTCATTAAATTGACAAAATTCAATAACAGCCTTCAAATAAAAGAAATTGCACGGATTGATCCATTTTGCAGTTGTTGCAAATTAATATACATGCTGTCTTTATTGTATGAGCACAATATTCATATGTGATAAACTTTTAATACAAAGAATCTATTCTGACTAATATACATGCAATATCCTCCATGCATTCAGCAACTTATACTTTAACTCCTTTCCCGATCTTATAAAATTGTTCATAATTTCATTTTGATGTAAAAAAGGTATGAATGTAAGTGGTTAAGTTTTTCCAGAATTGATTTGGGCAAGTGTGATTTTTCTAAGTATATCTTTTAGAATATCTTTAAGGAATGTTACAGCAACAATGATGGTACATTTGTCCCTAAAATAATTTTACTAAAATGATACTGGAATATTTTTTTACTGTGATAAGATTCCAAAAGTAGTACCAAAGGCTATTGATTATTGAATACCAATCAAATACAAATTGACTGCGTTATCAGACACAGAGGATAATGACGATTTTCAAATGGGACGCAAACATCACGCAAAAGCTGGGAATGTGGACAGTGCGAGCGGCATAACTACCATAATGTAACCTTGGCTGGCCCTGGGGACAAGGATGTCTCTTTTTCTCAGTGGCTTTGGGGTTGTTTTTACGACCGTAACCAGAAACATGTTTGATTGAACCACCACTGTCATTCACACAGAACCACGCTGCGCAGGGCTATACGATCTTTGCGCAGAACCGAAGTCGCCAAAACACTTAACCCAAACACGAAAACAACCCGAAAATTTATTTTTCGAACAATTTATCGTGAGGCGTGTGATTATGATTGTCTGACATGTAAGCGTGTGAATTGACTCCGAGACGTGTGACAAACGCCGGAGGCGTGATCTGGATGTTTACATTATATTTTATTTTTGTGCATTATATTTTGAACTGTATGTACTATGTACGCCACCAGCAGTGAAAATGCCCAACACTGACGTCAGTGTAGGAAACTTCCTTTGTTGATGTGTAATAAAACATAAAAAATAAAGCTTTCACTTTTAAACTTGTTCAAGAGCCATTTCACTTGCTCTAGCTGCTAGACCAGAGGGCGCCTTCTATAGCCAATGCAAAGAGCCAATAACAATGCTGGATTCTACAACTTTCAACAGTGCAGCACTTTTTGGAAATTTTTGAAACTCATGAACCCATGGAAACGCAAATATTTGCTCTCAATAAAGGGAGCTAAGCCAAAATGTTGGGCAATATACACTGCTTATAGGAACGGTTCTCAGGTGAAGAGAACAAAACTTACTTAGCAATATTTCTTTAGAAGATGAAGCTATGCCTTTTGTCTTCCCGTTTGCAACAGATGCAACCTACATGTCTGTTTTTAGAGGGGAACATTGGAACGGGAATTTCAAAGTTTAGGATGTCAAAATTTCTAAGAAAATGTACACTTTGAAATACAAAATCTGGCAGTTTCATTCTCTTTAAGGCATCACAACGATTTGATAGAAATAACCTGAATGAAATTTAACAGGAAATAGATAGTTTTACTGTTATGACTATTGTTTTGTACAGTGCGCGCATTTTAGGCTTTCAGTTATTATTATATTCCTTGATATATCAAAGCGACTACAAAATGTCAAGACTCAAAATGTTTTCCTGATTTGTTTAGTTTCAACTTTTCATTAAATTCCACAAGCTGGAAGTACAGTTGTTTGAATATAAACCCTCCCAGAAATCATAAGCGAGAAAAATTAGCTCCAGAAGACATATGAACATACCTGCTTTTAGACTGAAATTCTCTTCAAATGAGGTTTTGCCCTTCACCGACGTTTTTAAACACTGTATACTCAGTGTGTTACCTCCCGAGTGAAAGTTGGAAAAAATTCCGGCCAACCGATCCCGTTAGCTCGGTGGTCGAGTGGTAAGACATCTGCACTAGAAAGCAAGAGGTCGTGGGTTCGAGTCCCACCCGAGTGATTTTTTCCCAACTTTCACTCGGGAGGTAACACACTGAGTATACAGTGTTTAAAAACGTCGGTGAAGGACAAACCTAATTTGATTCACATCACCCCGACGCAAAATTCCATCTGAAATTCTCTTTTCGTGACCGTTTCTGCAATTTGTTTGTGACTGTCCAGTTATGCCACCAATCAACGTTGCGAGTGCTGCATGAATTCTGTAATTCCAACATGAAATGTATCAAGATGCGGAATGTTTAATTTGTAGTTTTTTTTCCTTAGAATGTGAAACCTGCCTATGAGGGTTTAATCCCAGTCATCTTCTGAATTGGCCGTGTTTGATCTATTCCTACTTGAATGAGTAGGCTTAGGCGGTGGTGGTATCATAGCTGATAGTTTGTCCATGGTAGAGGGTGCGTTGCCGTTCATCTTGGTGTCCTCTGATGATCCACCACCACCGCCTCCGGCCTGCCGCGTGCCGGAGATTCCCTTCCGTCGTAGCGACAGCTTGGAAGCCAGGTCGTCCATCAGACTCATGCCCGTCACCGCCTGGTTCTGCTTCTTCTGTTTCTTCTCAATCTTACGCTCCGCGACGTTGCGTAGCATGGCCTTCCCCGAGCCGCCTGCCATGCGGATGGATTCCATCAAATTGGCACGGCCGTCAGGCTTCGCCGGAGGTTGTGCCGGGACGGACTCCTGGGGAGGAGGTGGTGGCGGGGGTGGGGGAGCACCACCCCCACCCTCAACACCCGGTGGGGGAGGGGGTGGTGGAGGGGGAGGTGGAGGGGGCGGAGCCGCACCACCAGGAGGAGGAGGCGGTCCACTCTGTGGAGCAGGTAAGGCTGGGAGATCCTGTGCAGGGGCGCTGGGGAGGCTTTCCATACCAGATTCTATGACGCTGGGTAGCTCTGGGACGTGACTGCCGGGTAGGGAGGGCGCGATTGAGGGGCCCAGATCAGCACTGTAGCTCAGGTCATCGGCAACGCCTGCATCAAAAGAAACCGTGTGAATTAGTGTGTATTTGTTAAAGCACTTACTTCTTTTAACTTTTCTTCTTTTTTTTGTGAAAGAAGCATGTTACATTCAAATTCTTTGCTTCTAACCAAGACTTAGTCGGAGGATCAGACATGTCATAATTAAACGGGGACAAATCTTTTTGTTGTCTATCAAAAGTGAACAACTTTTATATTGCTATCAAAAAACAATAAAAAAAACCTGTACTTCTCGCGTGAAACTTGAAAATAAAACATGGATAGCAACTTTAAGATTGATTCCAAGTACGAGTTGATTACTGTACCTGGTAGATCAGGCAGGTAGTTAGGCACGTCAATCTCCGGTACATCTCCCAGGTCTGGAACGTAGAAGTAGTTCTCCATGCCTTGCCTCTCCATCTGTTCTCGTTGAGTGATGGACATGGGCGCGGCTCCTATCTCTTCCTGTTCCTCCTCAATGGCCTTCCTTGTCTTGGTGACAGCTCCCAACGGATCTATCATGATGTATTTCTTGTACCTGGGAATACCCCAAAACATACAAGAAGTGAGAAATGATTCACCAATATAGTCCCAGTACCGCCCGGATCCACCTATCTGTTATTCCCAGTACCGCCCTGCCTGTTACTCCCTGTACTGCCCCAAACTGTCCGGCCTGTTACTCCCTGTACTGCCCCAAACTGCCCTGCCTGTTGCTCCCTGTACTGCCCCAAACTGTCCTGCCTGTAACTCCCTGTACTGCCCCAAACCACCCTGTCTGTTACTCCCTGTACTGCCCCAAACTGTCCTGCCTGTTACTCCCTGTACTGCCCCAAACCGCCCTGCCTGTTACTCCCTGTACTGCCCCAAACTGTCCTGCCTGTTACTCCCTGTATCACCCCAAACGACCCTGCCTGATACTCCAAGTACTGCCCCAAAACCACCCTGCCTAATACTCCCTGTACTGCCCCAAACCACCCTGCCTGTTACTCCCTATACTGCCCCAAACCACCCTGCCTGATACTCCCAGTACTGCCCCAAACCACCCTGCCTGATACTCCCTGTACTGCCCCAAACCACCCTGTCTGTTACTCCCTGTACTGCCCCAACCACCCTGTCTGTTACTCCCTGTACTGCCCAAACCACCCTGTCTGTTACTCCCTGTATCACCCCAAACGACCCTGCCTGATACTCCCTGTACTGCCCCAAACCACCCTGCCTGATACTCCCTGTACTGCCCCAAACCACCCTGTCTGTTACTCCCTGTACTGCCCCAACCACCCTGCCTGTTACTCCCTGTACAGCCCCAACCACCCTGCCTGTTACTCCCTGTACTGCCCAAAACCACCCTGCATGACACTCCCTGCACCACCCCAAACTGTCCTGCCTGTTACTCCATGTACCCCCCCCCCCCCAAACCACCCTGCCTGTTACTCCCTGTACTACCCCATACCACCCTGCCTGTTACTCCCTGTACTGCCCCAAACCACCCTGCCTGATACTCCCTGTACTGCCCCAAACCAGCTCAGCAATTGTATGGTTTTTGTGGATCCATCAAGGAATAATGAATTTGTCCCAAGGGTGCTAAAGGGTTACGCATAACATTGGGACTAGATTTGGAGAAGGAATTTCATTCACTGAATAAGTATCACGCTGACAAATGTTGGTGCACCAAGTATCAAAAAACTTTGCTGGATCTGAATATCCCTAGACACTTTCTCAAGCAGCAATAAATTTGATGTCAAGAAACGTGATGCAAATGTTTGTTTCACACCATTGAGATTTACTGATCAGATTCAAAACGGCTCATACAAAAACCAAACAAAAACAAAATCCATAACAAAAGGAAGGAAAAAAGAAGAAGAAAAAACCCACCTCACTAATAGCAGAATTCTCTATTTCAGCACTAACTAATGTGCTTTTGGCTGATGATCTCAACTGAATTTTGCCAAAGTAAAACAGCATTGTACCTCTTACAAGTCGTACTACATTAAAGCTATTCGTAAGATGGAATTTGCGTTGGGGTGGTGTACATTCAACATTGGGTGCTGCCCTTCACTGACATTAGTGAAGGGCAAAACCCAATATTTATCATATATACTATATTAGTTGAAGGTATTCTGTATTCTGTTCTAGGAATTCCCTATCAGTATCACTTACGGATTTTCACTGGTGTTAAACAGCAACAGGGAGTTGATAGAATCCACGTGCTTAGGCAGCCCCCCGAGCCCTTCCCATGAACTCTGGCCATCTTTGTCCTTACGGACGTTTAACTGGACATTGTAGAACTGCAGTTTCTCCCTCAACGCCCGGCTGTCCAGATTCTGATGCTTGCTGCTGAGTTTCCTGTGCGGCCGTCGCACCTGGCCAAGGCTGGAGTCCTTGGTATAGACCGACGTGTACGCCTGGTGGCTGTCCGGCGCCGGGTACTTGGCGCTCGAGAAGACCTTGATGGCTTTCCGGGTGCCCTTAATTTTTTCCACCTTGGCTTGGGCCACGTCTATCCTCTTGTTGATGCCTTCAAGGCGGGTGTGGTTGTCGTCAACCTGGCTGATGATGTGATCGAAGACATCGTTGGCCACTTTCTCCATGTACTCCAGAGTGTCGGCAATTTGTTGGATTGTTTCTTCTCGCCGCAAGTCGGGCTGGATGATAGGGATGTTGTAGACCTGGCCCGGCATCTTGATAATCGGGCAGGCGATAGTTCAAGTTCTAAGGTTCTTCTCTGATCACAATCTTTCTGGTTTCACACACTACAAATACAATACATAAAGTTTAAAACTGTTCAGTGCAAATCATTCAAGATTGCTCCAAAAATGCAAATTAAGTTTTTGTAGGTCATCTATGACTATGTTTAGTTTCGTCAAGGTGACGGTGCTATGGTAGTGACGTTAGTCACACTGATGTGACTATCCCTAATTAATAATATATCACCCGTGTACCGGTTTTCGAGGCATAAATAAAACCGGTACATGGTTGAGGATAATACTAGATGGCCTTTAAAAAAAAAAAAATTGAAAATAATTACATTTCAAATTACCATTGTAACAATGTGTGAAAAGATGATCTTGATGTATAATGAGGAGGAATCAAAAGAATAATTTTTAAATGGTTCATAGCCCCATACTCATAGCTATAGCCTCAGTGTGCACAGGTATGGGCGATCGAGTAGTGCAGAGCCCGGTTCCTAGGGAACAAAATCCACTTTTTTATTAGACCTACCAAAGTAGTTGGCAACATTCTCAATAAACACGTATCATACTCATAGATATAGGGCAGGGTTTTGATTTTTTGAGGGAAATTTGGGGGTAAAATTACGATGACAGCGCGGCGACAACACGCAACCCGAAAATAAGTGAGCACTCACGGTGCGCTGAATCGCAAGGCACAAACCGCGCAAGAAAATCGTGATTTGTACTGTAGTGCCCAAGAAACTGTTCAAAATTGCAAAACGGGTGTTATTAGAATTGAGAAAAGTCTGCTTTTGATTGTAAAGTAAAGGTGATTTTGAGCAATAAAAAATACTTTTGACTCTAATTTGATCAAAACAAAACAGGGGCCCTACTACTACTACTACACGATCGCCCAGGTTTGTGCACAAAATGTGCCTGCCTAGCCTGGACTGGTGGAATAATCCACACCCGGCAAGATGCATTCCAAATTACATTCTTAATTCTTAAATGGAAGCATTATAGATACATAATAACTTGCTTACCCTCTTAATTGAAAGCCTCTGTTACTGTACCATAAATTCAACAAAAGTTACAAAATTCGACAAAATATGTAAACACTTCGCTCTACTGTCGTGACTTGATCACTCCCCCAAAATAGGTAACTATTAATCGATCCTACAATATCGAAAAACGGACTATCGATATGAAAATCAGTCTCGATTATTTTATCCCTAAAAAAATAAGCAAAATACGCTATATTCTACTTCTATAGATTATATTTTATAATTCGATAGCAACAATGTATTTTTGAAGTGTTACGAGGTTGAGTGTTTGAGAATAAAAACCCAGATTACAATTTCAACATCAAGCGATACCAAGAATTACTGAGTCGAGAATGTTTTGTATCGATTTTTAGCGATCATGTGATTGTCGGCATAATCGGCAAACACAACGCTAGAGGGCGATGTTCAAATTCGAGATTGCGAATCTGAGTCATGTGCGCTTTGACCACGGACAAATTTTCGCGGGATTTTTCAAACATTTTGGTCAAAATAGATTACTAGCAGACGTTTCAAAATGTTTCGGTTGGTTTGCCCTTCACTTCAGCCTCTGTTTATTCGGGAAATCCACCGTGTAGCATTTTCAAAACGGTTTTTGCTTCAAAACAAGATGATGCTCGCAACAGCCTGTGCCTACTTTCATTGGCCTGACACTCACAGCCACAGTGCCAGTGGTGTAGGCCTGACGATGCAGAGTTACCATGGTTACAAAAGACTGAGAACCCAAACAACCCCTTGTTGTTCCATGATAAGATTAGCAAGCACATCTAATCCTGAGAACCCAACAAGGAGTGTAGAGCAAGATTCCCAACCAACAGACAAATCAGCTCCTAATTTTCATCTTGTCAAATTGCGTTCTTGGGCCTTCGCTGTTGAGCCATTCGGAAGTCTTTCCTTCAAAACCTCCCTGTCGATAAGGGTCATGCCCATCGACCCCCACGACTACCCTGCAGCTGACAGGGCTTTTGTTCATCTACTTCTCTGCAGCAAATCACGGGACGAGAAAGTCAAGCAAAAAATTGAATCATTTGGAAAAGGAAGTGATAGAAACGGCATGCTTGAAAGATTTGTCAGATGCAGTGTGCAGTACAGTGACGATGTGATTCACATCAATGGAGATGCTGTTGATGATGTCAATGACACGTTGATTTCAAAGGAGGATACAGATTACTTGTGGCTTGTTGAAGTGCCTATGTCATATGGTGAGATGCAAGACATGATTCCAAGACATGACATGCATGATGGGCTTGGAACATCTTTTTTTTGGGGGGGGGGGGGGTGCTGACTAGTCCCACTAACTGGGGCTCCAGTAGAACTCCTTTTTTGACATTTGGGATGTTGGTCTGTCGTACTAGCGTCCCACTAAAGAAGTATTCTCAATGTTGCAATTTCTAAAATTCCTCAAAAGTTGCCAAAAATTACGCAAAATACTTAACAAATATACCTTTGAAAGCACCTACTGGCTTCTCCACATGTCAAAGACGAAGTAATATGGCTTCAATGATACTCACGATTATTTTTTGGGTTGCAAATTAATTGTGTTTATCCATCATCTGTTTCGAATACCACAAAACCTCTGCAAGACACGTCATCCGACGCGAACTGGTCAAGTTGTTTTTGGTTTTGGTTGTATGAATTATCAAAATAAGTTTTGTTCGTCAGTATGCTGTGAAAAACTACAACTTAATTTGTTATGTCATTTTATTATGGGATGTCCTTATAGATGTCAAGGCAGTGACAACTGATGAAGCATCTGTTACTGTGGAGCATCTAGAAAATCAAACGTGTAAAGTGCAAACAGACAAAGGAGACATAGTCACCAAGAAACTGAAGGTGCGTTGGCAACGCCAGTGACATCCTGGAGCAGTGCCGAGGATTTCAAGTATAATCTAGGCCTAAATTTATGCACGACTGAGCATAAACAACACAAGGTCCGGCCTAAGACCTTGACACAGTGCATCCTCCAAAATCAGTAACACAGGTTTGCCATAGCCTCAATCCTGCAAAATCCTCCATTTTGCAAAGAGGATTTGGGAAGGTTAGGGTTAGAAAAAAAGGAGGCGGGCAGGAAAAAAAGAAGCGGACAAGGATGAGAAACTAGTTTAGTTTCTTACTTGGCCTTCAAAGTTCATCGGTGGATCACATGGCCTTACATCCCTAGGATCCCACAACCTTTAAAGGAAATAAACAACATTTGCAAACATCGAAAAATAAAACTACCAAGTTTTTACGAAATACCTTACTAGGATGTTGGTAAATGACAGTCTGAAGCATCCTGTAAACTTATGGCACCTGGTGTCGAGTCATTACCAAGAAAATGGTATTTTTGTATTCATTTCCAACGGTGGTCAGCCGACCACCGTTAAAAAACCTAACTTTTTTTCAACTACTGCTCCAAATTTACCATTTTTTTCAGTCCAAATTTTGTTTGCTATTGGTTACATGTTCATGAACGGGTGCAGGCCAGCTAGACTGGTTCCCTTACCTTACAATTTTCCGACATCTATAAATTGATCCATTTTATCTTTAGTGGAGTCAGGGAACCAGACTACTTAAACAATTTTGTTTTTCTCGGTTTTTCAAGCATTTTCGAACACAAAACTTCAAACATGTCAGTTAAACAATATTTGATCTATTATACTAACCCCTCAAATAGTTCATTTCTGAAAATTACAGCAAAAGCCAATGATGTACATTCCCTTTAACTCTTTGTGTTACTTTCTTTACAGTCAGATAAAGTGTCGCTAAGGAGTACATCAGGAGACGTTAATTGCATGAAGATGTTGCAGGGTAATATCACCATAGCAACCGGAGATTACGGAGTAAGTGAGTGATGTTTTCTGATGCACATGTTTTCCCCTTCGTTCTGTCAAATTAGGTTTTGCCCTTCACCGACGTTTGAACACTGTACACTCAGTGTGTTACCTCCTGAGTGAAAGTTGGAAAAAATCACTCGGGTGGGACTCGAACCCACGACCTCCTGCTTTCTAGTGCAGATGTCTTACCACTCGACCACCGAGCTAACGGGATCGGTTGGCCGGTTCGAATCTGATGTATATAGCAGCGGGTACCGCATAAACTATTATAAGATGGAATTTTGCGTCGGGGTGATATAAATCAAAATCTTCGTTCTGTGTTAATTTAAACCCATTTTTAAAGGCAACCCATGTTCTAGGGTTCTACATCTTGAAATTTAGAGTAGTCCAAAATGATTTCATGTTTAAATCCTTATTTTTGCCCAAAAATTTATGATTCACATTCAAATGTCCTAAAAGTCGAGCACACTTCCAACAAAATACTGTCAATAAAATCACACTTTGAAGTTCTAATTTCTCTTTTCATTCAGTCTGATCTCCAATATCACACCAATCTGTAATGTGGTCATGACTCTTTGTTAAAAAAAAAACGAACAAAATTGTCTGTTTTGTTTTTCAGAATGTGACAACAGACAGACTACAGGGCCAGGAGGTCTCCATTAATGCTGGTTCAGGGGCCATTCTAGTCAAGGATGTCTATGCCAACAATTCTTCATTCGGATCAGTGAATGGGGGCATTAATCTTGGCAATCTACACGGAGATGTAGCAGTTTCTTGCAAAGAAGGAAATCTGAACATTGGTAAAAAAGGGACCTATTTTTGGGTGGAGAAGGGTGGGAAAGGTGGAATAGGTGGGAAATTGTACTTGTCAAAATGCAGAACAAACATCAATTCCTTTGTGGTCAAAAGGACCCCCCATGTGAACTGGCCGAAAGGGCACAGCCAGATGACCTTGGACATAGAGATAAGCTCCCTGGCTATGTGTACATGTATGCACGTGTACAATAAACAGACCCTACGCTCTCAGCAACGAGTAACGGCAAATTTTATTGGAGTTTAGATGGACAATTCTTTTGTAAATGAATACACACGAGCCTTAACCTCAACCAATCACAATAAGGGTTATATTGTTGGAAAGCTGACGAGGTGAAGAAAAATTACTCAGAGAATTAACTAAGCTCCCAGGTGGCGCTATTGAACGTTGTGATGATATAAGTGAACCAGCTCTTGGCTGAACGCGTGGTTTACACACAAAACTGGGAGATTTTTGACTAAAAATGCAGTGTTCAACATGATTTTGGCGAGGGAAAATCACTGTTTTATTCAGTTTTTCTTTCATTTTTTGAAAGAATATGTTGTTAGGGTCATACTGTAGTAAGAACTAAAGGTAAACTGTGTCGAATAATGTAGTGGCGGCGATAGATGCGAAAAAGGGCCCGTTTTTTGCCGTGTTCTCTCATAGAGGTTGCACATGAAAACGGCTAGTTCCCCAAAGGAATCCATATATGTTGTCTTTTCACATTGACAAAATTGGGACACCAAGCACATGTATATTGTAATAGAGGCAAGGTTGTACAATCCTTAATTCACCAAAATATGCAAGAGATTAGTTTTGAAGAGTTGGGGTTGATAGGGTTAAAGGGGCACTAGGTCCTGAAATCCCCAAAAAGTTTATGTTTTGGATTGTTTACTTAGCCTATTTCAAACATCTGGTTGAAAGGAAACCAACCTAATGTCTTATTGTTCCCGAGAAAAGACGGAAAAAAACCCGCTTGTTTACATCGGACATGACGGAGTACGAATACGTTTTTCGTGTCGTTCTCAGTGTACGATATACACGTGTGCCTCGGGAACAACGGTGACCAATCACCATCAATGCAAAAAAAAAATTGGTTTCTTCAACGTCCGCAAAAGGCGAACACTTTACGAATGAAATCACAACTAGCATCCAAACAGCTCGAATTTATGGGGTCGCAAAAGTGGACCCCGAAATTCGTTCTCGCACGCACAATACAGGAATAACACAAAAGTGCCCAGTTTCAAAAGGTTAGTTGTGTGGATGTTTATATCCTACTTTTAAATGTTATTTCTGATTAACATCATCTCGTTGACCCAACGCTCATCCTACTTATACAGGGTGGATTAAAAAAACGAAACCAAGATATTATTGCTAATTGGAACAGAAGTAGGGCACATGTGAATCAAAGGGAGATATCCTCTGTGAGGGTTGAATCTCCTCTTTAAAATGACACCCTGATCATGTCATTACATTCACGGTTGAATGAGCAGTGACCAATTTTATGAAAAGGTCTATTTAGAGACTTGCGCCACTTTCCATGGTGAAATCTCTTCTTTTTTTTCCCCACTGGCCTTGATTGGCAACCGTAGCCTTTCACTCTGTGACAATTGACACAACAAAAACCACAATTGAAAAGTGGCGCAAGTCTCTAAATAGACCCTTTCATAAAATTGGTCACTGCTCAGTCAATCGTGAATGTAATGACATGACCAGGGTGTCATTTTAAAGAGGAGATTCAACCCTAACAGAGGATATCTCCCTTTAATTCACATGTGCCCTACTTCTGTTTAGCATGTTCAAGATTGTTGAATGTCTCGTCTATTTTTGGTTTTTCTAGGGAGTCTTGATGGATCTCTTACAGCGCATATTGACAAGGGAGATATCACTGTCTATCTCGCCAAGCACAAAGACGTGGATATCGATTGTAAACAAGGTAAGGACTGACTCTATCATATCATTGCAAGTACAGTAAACTCCGGCTAAACCGACATCGTACAACTCATCAAATCGCTCATGTCGGCCATCTGACTTAAGTCCCGATTGTCCGTAATGCATTTCCATTGAATTTTTTATTTCTAAGTCGGCTTTTATAAGTCGCCATTTCGCTCAAGACGTCGTGTTACTCTCGGTTCCCTTTCCATAAAAAGCATCACAAAATCCTTTGTGTAAGTCGACATTCAACAAATCACGCATTGGCATCGATTTCCTGTTCTGCGGTTGGCAAAGTGTCGAGTGAAAAGTGGTTTCGCACGTCCCGTGACCGCTGCATGCATCGGTGTCGAAAAGGGGTGTCCTACTGCATACTACTACGTGGCGCTATAGGATCTTTGCTGCATACATCGCATATGCATCGTGAGCATATCAATACCAGTACCCCTCTAGGCTGTACGCATGTGCTCTGTCCATTTTGGGGGTCGTCTTATTGAATGACTACTGCTGCAGTCAATGCGTGTGTGGTATTTACAGGACCAAACACGCATTTAATTTGTAACTGTGCACGTACATATATGTATCGTGGTCTCCATTATCAATACCCCAAACGTGATGATACAATTCAAGGATTATTTTGCTGGATTCAACTCAAGCATTAAGGAGATAATCCAGGGTAAATTGAAGCCAATTAGTGCAATGAATCATGTGCGCAAAAGACCATTCATGTAAGTCGGCAAAATGACGACTTATAGCAGATGTTGGCATTCGCGTAAGTCGTCCCAAATTCTCGGGTCCCGAGAGTGCCGGTTTAGCCGGAGTTTACTGTATTTACGAGATTTGAGGCCAAAAAGGATAAATAGTCGGTCTCTGGTCAGTGCGCGCGTCGATTTTAATCATGCGCGTCAATCTTTTCTTTTCTTTTCAAATTTTCTGCGTTAGTTACAACAGCGATCTCTATAGCCCCACCAGCTTAAATTTTGGTACCAAGGAGCACCAAGGAATGGGGAAATTGCACAAAGGCAAATGATGGAGGGCACCAAGGCAAATGATGGAGGACACCAATGTATATGAGGACACAAAAACGCAAAACAGTACCCACCTTGTCTGTACAACCCAAGCTTGAAAAAAAAGCACAAAAAAAAAACCTCACCGCATCAATTCCGGAACTTTGGTCTGACCAGAGACCGACTATTTTTTTTGGCCTAAGGTATTTTAGACAGCATTTTATGTATTTTTGTGACTGTATTGGTCTTTCTCTTTATCAATTTATTTTTAATTAATTATTGTCATCGTTTTGTGCTTCACTTTGACATTTTCTTTGAATCATCTTGGCCATTCATATTTTGCTTATTAATTTATTTTACTCAGTTGTACCAACTTGCACGTGTGTGGGGGGGGGGGGGTGTCACTTGGTGTTTTTTTGCTGTGACTTGTACATAATTTTTGTAACATTGCATTCTTCATATTGTGTATAAATCTGTCTGTAATGTTAATATACAATGAATTTTAATTGTTTGTAAATTCAACTACGATTCTACAATAATTTTTAATTGTTTGTAAATTCAACGTACGATTCAGCCTTTTGGCCATAAAAGTTTAATAAAATAAACCATGAATAATGAATACTAATGTATATTGTGCTCCCATCCCACGATGTTTCACTTACTGTCTATATGATGTAAAGTACTGGCAGGAAGCGCACTTTAACCGTCATTGATGGCGTAAAGATACTCTCTGGGAAAACATAGACTTTATGTGGATCTCCTTTAGCAATTGTTGACAGTTTACCAAATGCAATTCAAACTGGCTTGTTTATCCGACATTGAAAATCGCCTTGCCTGTTATATACATCACTCAGTAACGCATCGTTTTAGGCAGTTTTTCCATTGTGTTTTCCCTTCACAAGAACCATTTGGGTAAAAAATTAACAAGGAGGATCGTCGCCAGTATATAGCTCTCCTTCTAAGGCCTTTGAAAGATCATGACGTTCACAGTCCATCTGATGTGCTAGGCTTTATTGTTAACTTGCCTTAGCGTCCCTTCAACTTCAAGTCAACCGAACAAGTCGTCTTGCAATCGGCAGAACAGTTTTGATCTTTCCAAACTATGGCCGAAATTTCGGGGAGGACGAAGTGGCTGAGGATTATCACGAGCATCGGGGCCCTGTATCTGGAGAGCTGCTTGCACGAAGCTGTCGTGCCGATTGTTGCCGAGTGGGATTGGGCAGCTACCAACGTTCCCCTCACCACAAACCGATCACAAACCGATGGAGACGAAGAAACAAGAGCTAGTCTTGCAATTGGTGCCATCTTCCTCTCTACTGGACTTGTGGAGATCGGTGTATCGCCCATTGCTGGTTTGGCAGCCGACCGGTTCGGGCTTGACGTGGTCATTTTGACGGGGCTTCTGATTGGCATATTGAAGTGTCTTCTGTTTGGACTTCTAGGCACATCGATTGTGATTGTTTCAACCAATCGTGTTCTTCAAGGCGTAATGAGTGCCTGTACGCAGACCATAGCAATGGCTCGCATTAGAGATGTATATGCCAAGGCATCCCCAGAGTGCGCTAACGTGATGGCGATAGCCGTGTGCAAAATGGCATTTAGTTTCTTTGCGGGACTTGTTATTGGAGAACTATACGGGTATTTGAAGTATCGAGTGTTCCTGCTGTTTCTACCCATCTCTTTGCTACTCATCATCGGCGTATTGATAACATTCAGAAATGACAATTTCCATTCGAAAGACCAATCGAGTGGAAAGGACGAAAGTAAGCGAAACTCGTCTGTGACAGCTGTTCGGTTGAGGGTGATCTGTGACGTCCAGCTCATAATCGTTACAACTTGCTGCATGCTTTCAACTCTTGGCCAGTCTTCCCTGGAGCCATCCCTTGCCGTGTGGATGAAATCTTCATTCGGGGCGGGTCCGGAGTCTGCAGGTGTCGTTCTTGGGCTCTGCGGGGTGGCATCGATCACAGCCAGCCTGGCCAGCGCTCAGATCCTACCCACTCTCCAGTACCGATCCTGGATCTTCTGTATGGCGTCAATGTGTACGGCTGGAGTACCTTTGCTTCTTGTCAACTTCTCACCGAACATCGTTGTAGCCGGCGTCACCCTGTGCACTCATTTCTTCGGCGCCACTGCTGCGCGTTTCACCCTCCTCCTGATGTGCTCTACCATTGCCAACAGCCGCTATCCCCAATCCTACGGTCTAGTCTTTACCGTGCTCAACGTGGGCTGGGCGGCTTCCTTTCTCCTTGGACCCCTCCTTGCCTCCTACCTGTTTGGATCGGCCTGCGTCATCTGCATCATCGGAGCAGCTTGCATTGTCAGCTCCCTACTCACAGTAATCTTACAGAGGCTTGACTCAAAGCAAGGGCCTAATATCATGGACTGTTTTCCTAATGATTACCCCAAGTATCAGATAGTGACCTCTACTGAAGGGCCTCCATTGTCTTATGATGAAGTAATCCAGCAGCCGAAAGATTAATCATTTAAAAAGGTTGAAGGGTTATGTTTATGGATATGTCTTGTTTGGTTGTATTTACGATTGTGGTATAATAACGAACACTTCTTTAGGTCTAACTCCGGCACAATAGAAGACATGTTTGATGATTATGGTTATGATAACAAGTTTGATAATTATCACGACGACAATATTGACATTGCCAACTATACTGATGATGACAAGTACAAATAGTAGGCAGAAAATAAACGAACAATCGAAACGCAGAAAAGCTTTTGAATCCCAAATTTATATTAATTTGAAAGTCAAAAGGATAATATGAAATACAGAGTAAAAAAAAAACGGATAACCCCATAAAATATTTTTCATATTTAAAAAAAATATGTAGCACCAAGAATAATAATGACTGGAAAGCCAATTTCATAAGCTCCTTTTAGATGAAAAAAATACTGAAATTGCTCAATCCGTTCAAAGCATATTCACCATTTAAACACAATTACCCTAAAACCTGGCTCGTCCAAAAAACAAAATTCATTGTGTATTTTGACTGTTTGGAACAACAAAGAAACTGACACAATGTTTCAACAACTGTAGTACACAATATCTTTTTTAACAACCCTGGTTAGCCAAACAATATGATTTATAAAATCTACTTTTTTTAAAGGACAGGCCTTCAAAGGGATTCTGTTGAATATTTTAAACGTTTAAACTGATATTTTATCACTGGTGATGTTTGAAGACAATTGCGACGACAGGTTTTAGGGTCACTGTGTTTAAATGGTCATATTTTCTGAACGGATTGATCAATTTCAGTCATTTTTTCATCTAAAAGTACCTCATGAAATTGGCTTTCCAGTTATTATTATTTTTGGTGCTACATAGGCTATTTGTTTATGTATGAAATATAATTATTAGGGTTTGGGTTCCGCTACTGAATGAATAACATGTTCCGTACACTGCAGTGCCCTGCTTGTTCCCCATTCCACCCCATATATTTTTATTAAAAAAGAAATCGGGATTCGAGCTAAAAGGTGGTGGTGTTTTAATGGCTCTTTAAATGTTAAAAACAAAATCACGTTCATTTACATACACTGTTTAATTTTTTCCTAATTACATTGACACTAACCCGCTACACTGGCATAAAGAGGTACAATTTCGCAAACAATAAAATTGTAAAAGTTCACCTATTTAAACTGATGAATCATTGTTTTAACTTTTCCGTTTCATTCCATTTCGCCAACAAGAATCTGATAATTATAAAAAAGAAATTAAGGTCAAAAAAATCTCATAATGTGCATACTGCATCAAAGTGTTATCAGTCAATATGTATTAAAATTCAAGATCATAATAAAATTCTAATAGTGAATATACTAACTACTATGCTGCATAAAATAATGGACAATAAACAATAATCACCCTTTAACAAATACTATGGTTGTATATGATGAATTTTGCTTTGTTATTTACTTTGGTTAATTGAATATGTCAGGACTCACGTTATTTGAGAATATTCAGTGGGAATTGATTTAGGAAGAACATGCAACCAACGAACTCCATGCGATAGCTTAGGAGTCATTGCAGAATACCCCGCCAGTCGGAAATACACCCCTAAAATCTCTGGCTACGCAGTTAGAAAAACTGGAAACGGAACAATTCAAGTCCATTGCCAGCTACGCGGATACTGAGTGGGGGTCCCTTTGAAAACGAAGCCACACAAAATGAATGGGAGTTGCTGAAATTTTTTTAAAGTCCAAACCAACTAACCTGTTGCCGGCTTCTCGGCTATGAAGTGGGAGCCCCCTTGATATTTTAATGCTTGAGAACGAAGCAACACAAAAGGAATGGGAGTTGCTGAAAAAATTCTTAGTCCAAACCAACTACCCTGTTGCCGGCTACGCGGATACGGAGTGGGAGTGCAGTGGAGCATGACGTGTACAGTTCTGTGTAGGCCTAGCGCTGAGAATGTTTATTGAGGGCAATCAACCGTGACTCCGAAGCCGGCTACGAGGTGCATAGATTGAGTGGCAGGGTATTCTGCAATTGTATTCTGAGATTGTGCTGTACCGGTAGCTTACTCTTACATCTGCCTCAGTCTGGAAATATAGCGGAATATAAATAAATTGTATGCTGACATAGCCAACCCTAAGCTTGCATTCGACATCTTATTGACATCTCATCTGAGTTCCTCTGTGATACGGAATATAAACATGATGGCATAGACCAAAGCTTGCATCTGACGTCTCATCGATGTCTCACATGAGTTTCTCTGTGATACGCATGAGTAAACCACTGATCTCCACAGGCGTCGCTAGGTGGGGGATGTCACCCCCCCCCCCCCATTAGTCAGTTTTTTTGGCAAAATCATGGTGCTGTCAGCAAAATAGAAAATGAAGAATGGAGAAGAAGGGGAAAGGAAGAGGGAAGAAGAAAAAATGGAGAATGTAAAAAATAAACAACGCTGTTCAAAACCCCGCGCAGCTGAAATCCGGTTCTGTAACCCATGTCAAATACATTCTGATATGTCGGCACGAGCTGCTGCGTGAGGTCGCTGCACATACGGTGGTTGACAGCTACAGCTGTGCAAAACACAAACACGTGCTCGCTTGCCGGCAGATACGACTTGAGCTGATCCTTAGTGACGACTGAAAGTCATGGCTCAAGCTAAAGAGGGCAAATCTCAAAAGAGAGTCAAGCTACAGTTTTGATGTGATGTTTGTGATATATATCAACTTTGATGACCCACCCCATCTCCCTAAACACGTGCAAATTTCATTCCAAAAGTCGGTGCAGAAAGTGGCCAGGAAATGCCTCAGATTGCACCACAGAGCATCTGGAATCCAAAAATTTCCCGGGGCCCCTAAGCGGGCCCTGGACCCCAGGCCTACAGGGCTTCGCACTCCGCGCTCTCATAGAAAAAAAATCAGTTTTAGGATTTAAAGACACCCCCCCCCCCCCCCCCCCCCCCCCCCCCCCCCGGTCTAGGATCAAGGTATGCTCAGACATACTGAGCATGTGTACACGCAGTTTTACTACGAGCAAATGTCCAAAACTTTTCAATATGATAGGGCCAAATTTTGACGATTTACTTTTGAAGTTGAACTTATCCCACTGAAAAATGTAATCCATTCAAAGTAATCAACTTAATTAACCATTCATATATTTGAGGAGGAAATTAGAAGTGGAGTGAAAGGGATCATTTTGGACAGAAATTATCAATTTAACTCATTTTGCATGACGGTCCGTCGGCAAATTTCATGGCACACCCCCCATTCAAAATGGTCTAGCGATGGCTGTGCCTGCTTGTTTCTGTTGTTTGATGTTAATTGTCCGGTGCATTAAAAAACATGTGGTCCAGAGCAATCGGACAGCAGGTATTTCTGTGATGGTGGAGTTTTTTCGGCCTTCCTTTGTGATCCTTATCTCAGCTTTTTCACTACTTTCAGGGGATATTTCCATCAAGACGTCTGCTGATGTTACTACCAAGCTTCATCTTCAAGCATCAGAGAACATTGAGCTCCCCCAGGAACTGGCTGCAAATTTCACTCCAGAAACTAAAGATGAGAGTAGGGAACCAGACAATAGAACCAAAAAGGGTAAAGAAAAGCATTTCGAATTGCTTATCTTTTTTGTTTTATTACAATCACAGTGCTTATAGAAATGTCAAGACTCAATATTTAAGTTAAAACTTTCCTAAGTTCCTCGATTCACAATTTTTCAGACAAAATCTATTAAAAAAAAATTGAGTTTGTTTACACATGGAGCTTGAGAGTTTCGTACACTTGACAAAATTGAAAATATATTTCAGAATACCGACTGAGAAATAAAAATCAGCAATACATTTGCACTTGCTTAAAAGTAGAGTCAATCATTTGCAGCTATCCAAAAAGGAACTGACGAAATTATTGTTGAAAAGCATACTTGGTTTAAAGATAGTAATGGGACTAAACTCCCTGTGAAATGATTCTTTCTGGCAAGCTGTAATTTGGAAAGACAATGAAAGAAGGTCTTTTCTAATGATGCGTCTAAAGATGCATTTTTGGAGATTTCCATTAGTAGTTCGTTTTTATTTCGGCAAACTCTGAATGAGTATGCCCAAGCGTTGACACGACCAACATGCACGCGCGGTTGTCATAATTTGTCGGTTGAGTGCGCGACATCGCGTAGCTGCAATCGGCTGAACGAGAACGTGTTCTGGACGTTGAATTCGGACGCAATTCAAAACAGGTCTCAGCAACTCTTGATTTGAAATCAAGATCGTAGAATATTGTTTTCTCAGAATATACAGCATTCACTGAGCTGAAACTTCATCAGGTTAGTTGTTCAGCGCCCTTCTTTAGATTTTCAGCGCTTTTGTTGCTTCAAATGAATATAATGCACAAATTACAAATGATGTACTCTACCTTCAATGAGTTGTGTGTGAACTTGTTAAATTGACACGATACACAGTATGTACTGTGAAATAATATCCATGGTCATAGATCAAACTAGTTATAATAATAAAGGGCTCCGTTCATAAGAACTCCCTCAACGGTTAAAAAGGGAGAGTTTGAGGAGACCACTGGGATTGTAGGGGAGTGACATTCATAAAGTGACCATTTTAGCCAATTTTCGGCTAACTTTGACAGATGTTTTGTTAAATACAAGTTTGACAGAAAATTTGACAGAATGGATTTTTTGGGGGCAGATTTCTGGCAGATTTCTGCAAAAAATGGTTATTTGACAGAAAAACAGCAAATTACAAAAGCTTTAGTCTTTTTCAAACAAACCCTTGCAAAATAGGTCAGGTTGCCTGGTGTTCACTAGGAACTGGATTTTGTCGTGACGCGGCTTTGTTTTGCCTGAAATTTACGCAATTTCATATTATCTTTATGTGGCTATAGATTGTTTATAATGTAATTTGAACATTAACTAAGGCAATACTACAACATCTGCATGTGATTTTTAGTGTTTATAGTGTATTTTGAGTATTCTGGGGAATTTTGCAGATTTTTGATAAATCTGACAGATTTTTGAAATGCATTTATCAGAATTTATTCATGACCTTACGGTCAGACATTCAGATGCATTGCCAATGACGCTCATGTGAAGACGATATTCTTGTGACGACGATATTCGAGCATGCAGTGTTTTTCTGTCCATTGGTCACTCAAAGGTGGTCACAAATCGTCGTGTGACAAGGAAAAGGTCTCCTGACGATGACTAGAGCAGGCTAGTCGAAACGTTGAGACCAAAGACAAGTTCTTTTAGAACTTACAGGACAAGTTCTTCTCAGAACTAATATCTTCTAAGCAGTAGTTATTACCACATGGTGTTACCGCAAAACCGAAACGATAAGGAAAAGGTCGTTAGCAGCCCAGGCACGCAAAAAGCATTTTTGGAGATAATCAAGTTGAAAGGTTTTGTGCTGCCATTTCTAGATTAAAAATAACATAATTTTGAAATTTTGACTGATGAAATTCGTAAATGATTAAAATAATATTGTGCATTTTTATGTCAATATATTACTTAATTGTGAAGTTATTTCAATTTTTATGCTAACCTTTTACCGGGAACTTCCCAAGCCTTAAACATACGCTTAAGCGGCATGTTAAATCCTTATGACCTTTTGCCGGGAACAAAATTGGCTTTGCGTACCCACTGGAGTGGGACATTAGCGCACTTGGAACATTTTTTGTTACATTAGAATTACACGTTTACGACCTTTTGCCGGGCACAAATAATGAAAAACCTCCTTCCGTCTTTTGTTTACTGTTAATTACGTCATAATGACGTAGCCCCTTGAGACAATATGTATATCAAATGAAAGATATTTCCAAGATTCATTACCCGAAAAACCCTAAATTGACCTTTTGACCCATTTTTCGCCCTTACGACCTCTTCCAGGCACGCGACGAAATGACCTCTTGTTCCTCACAGAAGCCATTCTTCTAAATTATTTGTTTGTTCTTTTTTTAATATTGTTGCATTTTGTTTCATAGGATCTTTGAAAGGTGGTCAGGCGTCTTCATTGACAGCTGTCGCTCATCACGGTGGTATAACGCTATCTATCCAATCATGGTTTGACTCACTCCAACTACAGAAGAAATAACAGCTATTTTATCCCAGTCCAAAGCGCACATGTAAGTGGCATTCAAATAAATATGTTTTTTAAAGATTATTTTTATTGCAAAGGGCATTGGGCATTGGGCATCACTAGAATATTGAGGTTAGAGTTACTCTCCCCATGCTGAGTTTCACCCTGATTTTATTTTTTTTTTATTTATTTTTTTATTTAGTGCTATTTTTCTAGTTATTCACTTTTAATTGAGACATCGAGCAAAAAACACACAAAAAAGTCTGGCATATTTAGTAATGGAATTATTACTCTTTACAAATTTTGAATTATTTCAGGCCAGACAAAAATTAATTAAGCCGTATCTTTTGTGTGTAATGGGTGCAAAAGCAACCCACATGAAAGCATATTTTCAGAGGTTTTGAAAAGATCTGTAATGGTAAAAAGTAGGGTTTTTTTCTGTTTAAAGTAAACATACAAATTTGAAAAGTCATTAGGAGAAAATATGATGAATATCACTGGTAGGGTTATTTATAATTGCACTGATTTTTGTATTATTTTCCTGATTTTCTGTTTCAAGACAAGACCTTAAAAGCAGTGCTCTAAATGTTCCACTTTCCTTGCCCAAGATTTGACATCTTGCAGTGTCTTACTATATTTATATCAAAGAGGACGTTTGTTCCTCAATACAGTTCTGCACCAGGACGTGGTCACGTCTCAATAGTCTGAAGTACCATTGGTCCGAAATCCCATTGGCCCAAAGTCCCATTGGTCCGAAGTCCCTTTGGTCCGACATCCCATTGGTCCGAAGTACCATTGGTCCGAAATCCCATTGGTCCAACGTCCTACTGGTCCGACGTCCCATTGGTCCGACATCCCATTGGTCTGACGTCCCATTGGTCCGACGAAACATAATACTGTGTACCGGTAGTTCCACTGGTTCAGGTTGACTGACCCTAACCCTAATCCTATCCCTACATGTATGGGGCGTCGGACCAATGGGACTTCGGACAAATGGGATGTCGGACCAATGGGACATCAGACCAATGGGACATCGGACCAATGGGACGTTTATACCAATGGAACGTATAGAGCAATGGAACGTATAGAGCAATGGGACGTCGGACCAATGGTTCTTTGGACTATAGAGACGTCCCCGATACCAGTAGTCAATTATGGCAATTTTACAGTGCTCTTACTGACAGAAATTACTTCAAGAACCACAATAAGATGTGTGGAAAGATTGGAATGTTGTTATATTTCAAACCAAAACGGTTTTCAATTTATTTTAAAATATCTATTTTGAAGTGTGGTATATGGGTTTTGTACAAATATGTTCATGATACACCGCACATTGGGGTATATCTAATTACATGTAAAACTTACTAGTGAATTGTAAACCAACTGATTGATCCTGTTTTTTAATCGTATACATGACTGACTAAATGAAATGTTGAAACTGTATAAATGTTTCAAATAATGGAATTCAAAAATCAGTACCTCCCAATAAAAGAGAGTCAGATTATAAATGATTGTACTGACTTTGAATTTGCATCTGTTTCCATGTAAAAAAAAAACACACCAAATAATAGGTCTATACTGTTTTTTGAGGGCCTCTTTGGTTTTTCAAGGCCGCTGTTTTAAAGAAATCAAGCTCAACATTACATTTGGGCCTTAGAAGACCATGCAAAAGCTTCTTATATTTGGATAGCAACCGCGCATGCATGTGCGTTGTGTCAACGCTTACGCGCTTCGCCGAAAAGACGAACTACTAACGGAAATTTCCAATGGTGTGTCTTAAGACGCATCGTTGGAAAGACCTTCTTTCGTTGAATTCTTCAAAATGACAGCTTGCTAGAAAGAATAAGTTCACAGAAAGTTTAGTCCCCTTACTATCTTCCAACCAAGTATGTTTTTCAACAATAAGTACGTCAGTTACTTTTTGGATAGCTGCAAATGATGGACTAGCTTTAACAGTGCTTATATCTAGCTATAACCTGCTTTACCGTTACATTTGCCTGACAAAAAGATCAACAGAGGGCGTCCTAGGCCTTGGAAAGATATGCCTAAGCTGATAACAATCATATCCAGGAATCCTTGAAATTGATGTACGTCTCCAATGACCGTGGTGAATCTGTACACATCCGTCAGATGTGGGCAAATATTGATTGCCGGGGGGGGGGGGGGGGGGGACAATACAGGCGCCAGAACAAACAATGCGCGACCGGTTAAATTATAACCCCACACTTGGTAACAGGTGCGCCATGAATTGCCCAATAGTATAGCAGTTAACAGTTAAACGACAGTACAGGGCAGTCACACGGTCTGCACTGCCAGGTTTCAACAGGCAAATATGCAGTGAAGTAACGAGGGATCGTCATTGTAAACAAGGAAACAATTGAAGTTGAGGTTTCTCGTTTTTGGAAGTATTAATAAAAAAAATGAAGAAGCCGGTCGCTACTTGTTGCGGTGGATACACCAAGTACCACATCGCTACGTTTTTCCTCACCTACGTTTCGTAAGTATACAGTAAAGTTTTTGGCGTATATGAGTTTGAATAATGTTGGATACTACAAATTTGTATTACAAATTTGCTATTCATAAGATGGGATTTTTGCGTCGGGGTGACGTAAATCAAATTAGGTTTAGCCCTTCATCGACGTATAAACACTGTATACTCAGTGTGTTACCTCCCGAGTGAAAGTTGGGAAAAAAACATTTTGCTTTAATTTTTTTTTTCATGTTTGCACCACTTAGTTACAATTTCTGTGTCTTAGTTTGAGGTGTGTAAAAAATTACTGAGATGAAAATGCCTGAAAACCGAAATTCGTGATCTTTCTTTATTTCTGGCTAACATTATGCTGTTTTCATTTCATAAGTCCTTTTTCTGATTGTGAGTTGAATTTGAGGAAAGCCTTGATCTCAAATGAATCCTTGGGATAGTTTTGGGGATTTGATTATCAAGTTCGTGTTTCATTTGTTCATGTTTCTTTGATGAAATTAATGTTGATTAAAAAAAAAACAGAAGTTTGGAATTGGAATGAGCCGGATGTTGTGATTTAGCAATTTTATGAGGTTTCTAAGGTAAAATCATCTTAAAATTAAAATATGGGCCAAATTTCGTTTTTCTCAGAATCAGAAAATGTTGGGTTTTTTTTGCGTAGAGCATAAATCAGCTTAAAATAACCTTATTATGCTTAACAAATATTGACTGTGCTCCGCAAATTTCTGGGAATAACACCAGAAAATCTGCCCCTCATAGTCATTTAGAAATGTCTCGTGCTTGTATTCTTGTCATGCCAAAAAGTATTCATTTTCCCAACTTGCTCTTTTAACACTATACACGGTGAGTAAAAAAGATCACAACAAAGTTCAGTGTTCTTTTAGCAAAACGAAAACAAATCACATAGGGATGTGTGTGAATTGTTTTCGTTTTGCTGAAAGAACACAAACCTTTTTTGTGATCCATGGACAGAACTTTTAAACGGTGGTTGTTTTAAACTTCCGTAACTTGAAAAGTATATAAGTGATTTGAATGATTCTTGTACTAAAAAAAAGCTTATGAATTAGGCTTTCATATTCCAGATTTTCAAAGTGCTACATGAAAAACTTCACTAAAACAATAGTCCCGACATTTGGTTTTTTGTTCGTTTTACTCACCCTGCACATGCCAGGTTCTAAAACATTTGAAGTTCTCTCCACCGTGTTCCATTTTCAGGTACTGTTTTTATAATGCCGCGCGGAAGACGTTCAGTAACGTCAAGACGTCTGTTCGTCTCAGCTGGGCACCTCCTGATGAGAACGAAACCCTACCCGAAGGCTATTCAGACCATGTAAGTATTGCTCAATCATTATCAATCTGTCTTTGGTATTATTTTAGTACAGTCTGTTGTGTTAAATATAACTCACAGGGAAGATATGTTTTGCTGCAGATTTTAAAATAAGATATTAACTTAGAATTTAACAAACTTCAAGTAAATTTTAAAATAGTCAAGGATTGGGTTTTGCCCTTCACTGACGTATTTCATAAACACAGTTATACTCGGTGTTGTCCCCGAGTGATCCCACAATCAATTTTTTTCTCACAATCACTCGGGGGCACGCATACTGAAATTTGTATCCTTGTGGAAACATTTCTTTGTTCTCGTGTACTAAAGTTTTCGAGTTTGAAAGTACAGTTTCAAAATGCTCTTATTTTAACCAAAATTAATTTCCTTGGCTGAAATTCGGACTTAATATCCCTTTTCTAAAACTCATTTTGCGACGGATCAACATCCCTTCGAAATTCCTACTTTTTTGAGTAAAATCCATATATCTATTTCGTAAAAACCTTGTGGAGACGTATTCATCTATAGAAATTGCCCTGTGGAGACGTATACAATCTTTTATTCCCTATTGTGTGCATGTCTCCAGAGGGCACGGTGTATCAGATCAACACTGAGTATACAGTGTTTACAAAATACGCCGTTGAAGGACAAAACCCAATATTGAATTAACATCACCCCGACGCAATTCCATCGTATGAATAGTCAAGGAAATTACTCAGTTGGCCCACCTCAGAGCAAAGCAGGTTTTTTGGTCTCATCAGTATTTAAGGATCCGATGTTAAAATGTTTTAAAATATGTGATGCGATAAAGCTAAATGAGTCATTTGTTGGGAATTTTTATTTGAAGATACGGGCCAAAATAGGGCCACTTCATCACATCTCTTGGTGTTCCGACTTCCACAATTTTTGAACTAAAAGATGGTATCAGCATGTGGTTTTCACAGCAGTAATGCTGAGATTGTGCTCTTTTCAAATCTGTTATAACAAAATTGTTGACCAGGGTCGACAAACGACTCATTTAGCTTGATCGCATCACATATTTTAGAGTCCTCTAAGTTGTACTATTAGCTAACTTAGTACCAGTAACGCATTTGTCAAAACATTACATTATGTGTAAAATTAATGATTTTGATTTTTCAGTGGACAAATTGTGAGAAAGTTACACAAAAGCTCACGACAAAAGTGGTGGCAATTTCCACACAATATATCAACTTAAAAAAATATGTATTGTCGTCCATTGCCTCTGGCCCCTTAATTATTGCACTCACATCTCAGGGAGTAGAGTATGTAGCCCAATGCCACTGGGACTATTTTAATGAAATAATTTTGGTCACTTTTCTCTCAATAGTAAACATGCACAACAATATTTTTTACCCCAACTTAAACTCCTGAAATTTCAAAGTAATATCTATTTTGTGGGTAAATATTTTCTCTATCCCTAAAATATTTTAACGCATAATCAATAACTGTGTGCAATTTTGAGTTGTTGTCAAAGTTGAAACCTGATTTGCATATTGATCAGTGGTACTGGAAAACAGCTGGTGCTGATGGGCACTGAAATGAAATGGATTGAATAAAAAACTGCAACTTAAAATATCAAAACTCAGTGAATTCCTATTTGGTTGGTCATATCCCTAAATTCCGCACAGGCACATCTGTGACGTATTTAACACTTAACACAACAAAACAATTAACGCAAAATGAGATTTAACGTTTTCAATTACCGGTAATACAAATATTTTTTTATCGTTCATTTATTAATGAAAATATCCTTTCCAATAGCTTAAATGGAGAAAAACCACATTAGTTTGGGATTTTGGATTTGGCAAACTTACGGCTGTGTTTTCCTCTCGAATTATTTTACTTATAAATTTTATTTCCTCTTTTTTTTAAGCCAATGATCTTTTTCACATATTCGAATCTTTTAACTCATAACAATTCATTCAAATCTTATAACTCCATCGCTGATATGTCATCCCTTAATTGTTCCAAATAATACTTTAAATATGGAATTTAATCAGGAATATATTTTCAAAGTCCTCATCCCACTCAAAAGTCATCTCCAGTTGCTAGGCAAAGACTGAAACTTTTTTTTAGATTTGCCTCACCTACAGACGCTAAGTACACATAGATACCAGAGTGTTTGCACTTGATGGCCTCTGATGACCAACTTAAACAAACGAAGATATCGTCGTGCATCAAACAGACTAGTATTGTCTGTAGGAGGCATAGACATTGCCAGGCATAACAATTTTCTTATTTGAATAGGATTTCCTATTTTTTGTCTCCTTTTATTTCCTATTATCTCAAGTTTTAGCATTCTACTGTAGACATTATACTTTTGGGGTCTGCATGACACTATTTTTCATATTTCCTCCCAAGAGTCAAATATGTCTGCATGGCATAAACACAGTTCAAATTATTTATTGAAATTTTGAGAGATCAATGCACAAAAGATACCAACACACTATGTATGCTATACTCTTGTACCTTTTGTAGCAAGGAGCAGAAAAATCACAGATTTATGAAATGCGTTTCTCTTTAGAATCAGTTGGATTGGAAAAAAAGGTTGAATTTTTACAAGGGCCTATATCTGTGCAGCATTTGTGTGTGCATATCATGCATTCTTTGATATATAGAAGAAAATGAAACAAATCCAAATTATGTATTTTTCTATCATATATGTATCTCAAAGGAAACCTGGTTAGTACCCCATTTATCCTCCTAAATTACCAACGTTGGTAGTATCATTAAGGTGGACACACAAGCATAAGGGTTTTTTGGCTTCTGCCCAGTGTTGTAGTCGAGGCACCAACCAAGTCTCAAGTCACAAGCCTCTAGTCCGAGTCCCGAGTCACAAGCCTCGAGTCCGAGTCACTAGTCACAAGCCTCAAGTCTGAGTCACTAGTCACAAGCCTCAAGTCTGAGTCCGAGTCATGAGTCACTTGTTCTTAGTTGTTCACATGTACACTCTTTGGTACCGGACACGTTTTGGCATGACACCAGGCCCTGGTGCTCATCGTGGAGGCGTAAGGCGTGCATGCGTGGCCCCTGGATACGTTTTTCCGCGGCGCCTTGTTTTGTCTATGGAGTAAAATGAATGCTACGTCCGTCGCACAAATACTTAACGCTATGTTTTTTCGTTTGTTGAAAATACTGTGACTGGAGTCACGAGTCACCAAGCTCGAGTCCGAGTCATCAAGGTCGAGTCCGAGTCTGAGTCTGAGTCATTTTCAAATGTGACTCGAGTCGAGTCCAAGTCACAAAAAAAGTGACTCGAGTCTGCTTCTGCCTAGCACCCCTGAACAATTTAGGAGACCACCACAACAATGGCTCAATGGCTCTAGTATTAGCATAGTGCTCATAAAATGTTTTGGACGTGGACAAATCCATCCTTTAACCTTACCCTCCCCAACTCCATCAAAATTCATCCCCATTTGGGTGGACTTTTGGGGACTTGGTCCTGCAGGCCTGGTGTGACTAAATATTGATGGAGTATGATGGACTTGGGCCTGGAGGCCTAAAGCAAAGCATGCATTGGAAGTATTGATGGATTTTGGCGAACTTGGTCCAGTACTTAGTAAAAGAGTAGGGAGTTAGGGTTAAATATGTTTGCCTCAGAAACACAAGAGTTGTCATAATCCAGACTCGAACAAGCCGATGACAAGAACATTGTAAAATCAAAGGATCAAATTTATGATTGCATGAGCCCTCAGTGGTTTTTTCTCACTGTTGTCAACTTGACATGGGAATTGGTGAACAAAGAAGATTAAAGGACCTTAGTGATTAGTAATGGGGTGAGTTTGGGCAAGTTGAGGATTCTCTTGTGGCAAGCTTTGACAAAGGCTTTCCTTGGGCATCGTTTATCCCTCTTACATAATGACCCTATGACTGACCTGTGATTTGACTTGTGAACTTGATTACAAGTAAAGTTGTAGTCAAGACCAATCGTACAAGTCAGCCACAAGTTTGGTCTATAGTGATGTGATAAATAATGTGGAAGGAATGCCTTTGATAAACTTCATTTAAATAGCTTGTGAGTCGCCTTGTGACGGAATGACTTGTGATTGATATAAACTGTAAATCACTCAGAAGCTATGGTCTTTTGTGGTACTCATCACTTTTTGTCTTTCTCTGTCAATTTTTGTGCAGGTGATTGCCGACAACATCGACCCTTTTCTTGAGAATGCGGATGAAGCTGAGGTGTTCTTCGGCATTCTTGATACCGTCTTCCTGGTCTCTTATGCAATTGGTCTCTATGTCAGCGGAATGCTGGGAGATAGGTATTGTATAATACATACTTAAATCATAGGCGTAGCCATGGGGGGGGGCCCAATATTTTCTAAAGACTGCCCTTTTCCATTGAAGTGCCCTTTTTTACCCCCGAATATTTTTGTAGGAGTGCCCTTTTTTTATGAAGAAGTGCCCTTTTTTTATGAACAAGTGCCCTTTTTAAAACAATTGGTGCCCTTTCTGTGCTAGCTGCCATTCAGGTGCTTTTTTGTTTAATTTGACGCACGTATAGCCCTGAATAGCCCTATATATTGTCCTTTATATTGTCCGCCGACAGATGGTACTGCCCCCCCCCCCTTTTTTTTTTTCAGGCCAAGTGTCTGGGGAGAAAAAAACGGGCTCACATTTTACAACGGATGTGCCCTTTTCAAAAAATGTTACCCCTCCCCCGATCAAAGTGACTGTGCTATGCCGCTGTAAATGGTACAGTAATTTATCTAGCTCTATACATTTAGAATTTTATGCAAATTGGCAAATTCAATATTGGGTTTGCCCCTCACTGATGTATTTATTTAAACACTGTATACTTGATGTTGTCCCACGTGGTCCCAAGTGATTGTGAGAAAAAGAATTTCCGGGTGGGACTCGAACCCACAACCTCCTGCTTACTAGTGCAGATGTCCTAATTACCACACGATAATTGACAAATTATTGATTTATTGATAAATTACATCAGTATGCATTATTCACATCAGTATGCATTATTCAACAAATAATGTTATTTATTTTTCGTAAGTCACATCAATTTTATTTAAACAGTGTTTTTATTCATATTTGTAAATCAACATTCATTCATAGTTTTTTCCCAAAGATTACATACATAGTTATTAACCATAAAGCACAAAACAAATTGTGATGCCACTGTGCTTTTGTTGGTACTTGTTCACATGCCTGTAAGAAGACAAGGTTTTACGCAAGACTCTAACCCATATGACCAGCCACTTACTCAGGGTTCGACCTTAACTCTTTTTTTTTTCACTAGCCAGCCGGGCTACTGAAGCAGACTCTTAACTAGCCCGCGGGCATTTTCACTAGCCCGCATGTTTTTCTTTTATAGAGTGTCTCACAAACAACAATGTGCATACATTTAAAAATTGTTTTTCCTGAGGCAATCTTGTCAGTGTTTTTGATTTAACAGATCTAATGATTTAACCCTAAACAGTTGATAAAATTAGACACAAATTGATACAGGTTTGCTTTCTGAACTTAATGATTTATTTCTTCCTGTCCGTTCATCTTTGCCGAATCCCAATAATTTTGGACTCGCCAGCCGGGCTACTTAAGGAATAGTTTGACTAGCCCGCCGCTGTTTTGACTAGCATTTGGCTAGCGGGCTACCGCAAAAGTTGAACCCTGCTTACTTGTACAGATAACAACTCGTCCACAGAGTAATGTCTTAGCTCATAAATATCCCCTATTTTTTTCAATAAAATTTACATCTCAGTTAAACAAAAGTTCAGTCAGTATTTGTGATAGCCACTTTTAAGTTTAATACTAGTTCTAACCTGTCAGTCAATTTGAGTTCAGTAATTTATCATTTTACAAGTTGTGGTCTTACCCCCATACTACAGACTGCAATAATATTTGTTCTAAGATCAGAACATACATGCTGAAGTGATTAATAACTAATTATGAGTAAGGATCGATTCCAAGCATTAGCAGCTGTCAAAGTATCAATATTTGATTTTAAAGTCATCATCATCAGCTGACAGAATAGTAAAGCCGTTTCTGGCTTTGTATAAGTTATTTATTTTCTATTATATTTAGTTAATAGTTAAGGTTAGCTGGACCATGCATATCATTTTGTCAATGCCCCCCCCCCCCCAAAAAAGTACACCCAATAATTTTTATATTTCTTTGTCCCCGACAGACGCCTAAAATCCAATGAAATTATCCCTTTTCATTTTAAAATAGTTATATCTCAGTTGATATACAACACGTCCCAAAATACCACTTTTTTTTTGCAAGGCTCAAGAGTCAGCGTGAAAACACTTACTGCCATTATTTTTATACCATATTAAAACTTTGAATCTTAACTTTGAATCTATCTCTGGCGAGTATTGATTTGATTTTTAAAAGACTTTTAAAGTTATTTGTGTTCAAATAAAGGTATGTTGAAAACAAACTCAACCGATTTCAAATCGATGATGCGGTACATCCGATGCAAACTCGAGTCACACTTCGAGCATGCTTTTTGAATAGGTACATACTTGCACGTGAATTTCAAAAGAGACTTAGAATAACAAAAACAAAGAACAATATTGTGAATTTATTTAAGGTGTAGTCTACGTGGATGGAAAAGCATAGGAAACACAGAAATTAAAAGGCAACGAGATCGTCACATCATGAACATGATGAAGCATTTCCACATTAGAAAAACTTCACATGGTTGACTTTCCTTGAAATCGGTTGAGTTTGTTTTGACATGCCATTATTTAAACACAAATTATTTCCAAACCCTTTTGTAAATCAAACCAATTCTTACCAGGGATAAAGTTAAGATTCCAAGCTTTAAAATGATGTAAAAATAATTGCGGATATTTTGGGACGCGCTGTATATTAGAAATATTACAAATGAATGACTTATTTCTTTCTTTGACAGGCTTGATCTCAGGAAGGTTCTGGGTGGTGGGATGTGCCTATCTGCGTTTGCTGTAAGTTTTTCTTAGTTCATATTTGCTTCCACCTTTTGCAGCACTTGTTGCCTTTATGACATCACTGCTTTCTCATGAATATGGAAATTCACATTTCATTTGGAAATTCACATTTCATTTGGAAATTCACATTTCAATTGGAAATTCACATTTCATTTGCAGTACAGGGCACGTGTGGTCTAGTGGGCACGTGTGGTCTAGCGGTGGAGTGCAGGATTCATGATCGTGAGGTTGTGGGTTCGAGCCCCGCCGTGGCCATGCGTGTTGTGCCCTTGAGTAAGGCGCTTTACCTCAATTACTCCTCTCAACCCAGGTGTTAAATGGGTACCGGCATTATTCAATGCTGGGTAGGTAACAGACTCGCTGTGGAGGAGGTGTGGCGATCCCCCCACAGCAGCATATGAGTCTGGCCCAATCGCTAATGAAAGAGAGATGGGCACTTTTGCACTGTAGAAAGAAGTACATTTTTATGCATGGAACAGTTTTTTTTGTATGCAATTTTGAAGACATTGTGGGAATACCACTTCATCACATCAACTACAGGGTGACCCCCAAAAATGCAACCCTGAAACATTTGCCTTTTTTTTCAAAAACGTGATCTGTGAATTTGTATATCAAATTGAAGCTGTGTGTTTTTTTCTTTCAAATACTGAAAAAAATCATGCAAACAGCTCATTGGGTTGCTGAGAAATTGCCAATTATGTAAAAGAAGTGATTTTTCATCCTTTCCAAAGGTGCTTCAAACAGTGAAACCTGTTTCTGTAAGCCCAATGTGCAATTGTCATTTATTTGTGCAACTTCTTTAATATTTTGACATATTTATGATGCTGAAAAGGTTTAAATAGAACAAAAAAAGATGAGATACCTTTTCAGTTGGAACTTTAAAACGGTGGTTGTGTTTAAAAGTTCGTAACTTGAAAAGTACATGAGTGATTTGAATGATTCTTGTACTAAAAGAAGGCTTATGAATTGGGCTTTCATATCCTAGATTTTGAAAGTGTTACATTCAGAACTTCGCTAAAACAATGGTCCCGACATTTGGGTTTCGGTTTTTTGACTCGCCCTGTATACCCAATTGCCATTAGACATACCTGTTTTTGTCTCTTTTTACAAAATGAAGTTAATTGTGTACTCTCATTTCTAAAATTGTGTTATTTTTTGGGCTAGATTTTTATGTTTGGCTCCTTGAGTGAATGGATAAGTCTTTACAACAAGGCATACTACATCGTCTTCTGGATACTCAACGGCCTACTGCAGGGCACCGGCTGGCCAGCATTAATTGCTATCATGGGAAATTGGTTCACGGAATCCAGGTGGGTACCAGGGAACTGTTTAGTGAACAGCTGAAAAAACAAATTCAACATATCTTACGAAGTTGTAAATGGACTTATGATGTACTTGAGACCATGGACTTGAATGCAACACTGCACTGAGTTAAAATGCAAGTTGGATATATCTTCCTCTGACATTAACTTTCAGAATCATATTAGCCATATTTGAATAAGTTAGAAATAACTTTGGTTTTGTTGTCCTTTTTTTGTGACTCTAGGGGCTTGGTGTTTGGTCTGTGGACATCCTGTCAGTCAGTGGGCAACATTCTGGGCTCCATTCTTGCAGCGTTAGTGGTGAATCAAGGCTATGAGGTTAGTACTCACCAATTCTTAAAGCTATAGTCCATCATTTGCAGCTATCCGAAAAGTAACTGGCGTAATTATTGTTGAAAAACATACTTGGTTGAACGATAGCAAGGGGACTAAACTCCCTGTGAAATTATTCTTTCTTGCAAGCTGTCATTTTGAAGTAATCAATGAAAGAAGGCCTTTCCAACGGTGCGTCTTAAGACGCACCGTAGGAAATTTAGATTAGTAGTTTGTTTTGTTATTCGGCGAACGGCGTGCAAGCATTGGCTCGACGCACACGCGGTTGCTATAATTCGTCAAATCAGTGCGCGACATCGCATATAGCTGCAATTCAAAACAATTCAAAACATGATTCAGCAACTTTTGGTTTGAAGTTGAGATCCTAGAATGGTGTTTTTCTCGGAATATACAGCTGAAGCTGAGCTGAAAATTCATCAGGTTAGTTGTTCAGTATCCTTCATTAGTTTTGAACACTTTTGTTGCTTCAAACGAACAAAATGCACAAATTACAAATGATGGACTGTATCTTTAATATTGACAAAAGGATTATTCGCACTATTGGTTTTCAAAACCCGGTTGAACTCACCACAGGTCCATCTTGAGCTGAACTTGGTCTAATCAAACTCAAGTCAACAAAGCATAGCGTTCACACTAGTCTGCACACAGTTTGGCAGTGGATTTGGGATTTTCTACATTGGTAGAGCTTAAGTGTACTTATGTAGATCGCTGGACCTATGTGGAAGCCATGTTGGATTATTATTGGCTAGAATCGAGTTCTGGACATTTTGGGGTTCAAACCAGGTCTAATACGGAGATTTTTGATAGTGTGAAAGGGCTTAAGAGTGACAGACATTTTATCTGCACCTTAGGAAGTGCTGTAGTCCAATACTTTATTATATTAAAATTGCAAGTATGAGTGCTATTCTATGGATATGGATGCTAGTATAAGTTAGCGTACAGAAACAGTTATGACTGATACCCAGGAGCGGATCGGGGGGGGGGGTCCACAAAACAACAAACCCAGCTCAGTCAAAAAAAAAATTTCCATAGAAAAACATGAAAAAAAAAAAAACCCTGGTCTGACACCAAATATTTTTGTGCTGGTAATAACGTCCATCTTTGCACAAAATACGGACAGAGCCAGCTTTGGTTAAAGGGGGTATATGTACACTTTTCTGACATATAGTGTTAATGATCGTCGGATTTGAACAGTGCCCCCCTCCCCCCCCCCCCCCCCCCCCCCCCCCCCCCCCCCGCATTGATTTTTGGAGGCCAAGTGTCCAGAGAAAAAAACAAAATCCTGTCTACATTTAAGATTTTTTGGCCGATGAAAACCCCCCCCCCCCCTGTGAAAATTCCTGGATCCGCCCCTGGATACCACATCAACCCTGGGTTTAAGACCTGATTATACAGGGACCATGATTATTACCCCCAATTTTTTCTAACTCCAAATCACCTCCCCCCCAAAAAAAAATTATGTAAATTTAAATAAAAACAGTTTTTGTTCCCAACGGAACTGATGTTTTTCCTCAACACCACCCAACTTTCAGTTTCCGTCTCCTTCAAAACAACAATTAAACTGCTTATTAACATTGCTATCTTCATTTCTGCAGTTTGCCTTCCTGACCACAGCTAGTATTCTGTTTGTTGGTGGTATCATTATGCTTCTTTTCGTCGTTCCATCACCCAGTGAATTAAGTAAGTACGAAGTCCTCCACTTTACCATTTGCATCAATCCATTTTAAACTCGGGCGCAGTCTAAAGCCGGCCTCGGGTCGACCTTGTGACGACACAGATCAGTCGGCGACTGACTTTTCAGGATCAAGCTGTGCCTGAGCTACGACCATCATGAGTAAATCAGTGGCCGATTTACCGCGACCTGAGTGTAACTGAAGATGATCGGCATCATTCGGTGCTAAAAAAAAAATCAACAGTCGCAAGAGTAGAAAAATTCCAACTTTCTGCGACGCCAGAGAACGCATTCCAGACGGGCAGGAATCAATCGCAGTCGACCTGTGTGAAATTACAACGTTGCATGTGCATCCGGATCATCTAAAGCTGGCCTCAGGTCGACCTTGCGACGACAAGATCAGTCAGCGACTTACTTTTCAGGATCAATTAACTCAGTCGCCGATTTTTTGCAACCTGAGTGTATCTGCGACGATATTAAGACAATCAGTATCAGTCGACGCTAAAAAAAATCAACAGTCGCACTAGAGTTGAAAAATTTCAACTTCTGCAACGTGTTCCGCGACCAGCACTCGATTTCTCAGTTTTGTGACCTGAGCATAATTTTTGGCTTGATGCCGACTGTTCCGTCGTGGCGCAAGCAAACCTGAGGCCGGCTTAATTTGTTTATGAATCACCATCGCGTCGGGGGTGATGTCAGCATGGTTGCAACTATTCTGTGCCCAGATGATGCTTGATAATCACACGATTTCTCAGTTTTGTGACCTTGCGCAAGTAAATCGTCGGTCGACCTGAGGGCGACATAATAGACCGATACAGAAAGCCGTGCCCTATGGTGTTTTGACCAGTCACAGTGGTCATTAACGTTAGATTTGTGTGTCCAAAATCCAACATGCATGCAGGTGTGTATGACGCGCGTAGCTGGAACATAAAGCGTGATATTGGAGAGGCCTACGTGTTGTTGCCCATGAGCAGGGTGGGCGGGGCTTATAGTATACAAATATTGAGTGGCTCAGCGTGGAATGGGAGGAATATTATCGCAAGGTAAAGTCTGGACTTTTCCATTTCACGAGGCGAAGCCGAGTGAACTGGAAAAGTCCAGATTTTACCGAGCGATAATATTCCTCCCATTTCACAATTTAAAGCCGCTCAATATTTCTTTTATATAACTGACAGATCCTTGTCATTTGATATATTAACTTTTATTTCAATACAAAATTGGTGGAAAATGTATTTCTCTCTTCCAAACCACCCCTTCACGAAAATGTTTGAACCCAACACTGTAGCGCTGGCTCTTTGGAACAAATACCGCGTCATGGAACAAGCATCGATCCTAACTGTTCAATAGTATTTCCCATTCCCCATGGGCGGATAGTACTTTTTGAGCCCCAGGAGGGAATGGCAGTAATAACGAATGTCATGTGATGTGAGTTCCACCAATCAAATGACAAGGATATGTATGTCGGTTATATAAATCAGTCTATCTATTGTCTCTGCCAATGAATTTGTCAAAACCTATGCACGTCTGTTATCTGAATGTTGTTATGAATGTTTTACAGGCAGGGTGACCGTTTTAGCCGATTTTCGGCTAACTTTGACAGATTTTTATGTTAAAAAAAACGAGTTTGACAGAAAATTTGACAGAATGTATTTTTTTGGCAGATTTCTGGCAGAAGTCTGCAAAAATGGTTATTTGACATAAGAACATATAGCAAATTTGAAAAAAAATGGTACATTTGTTTAAAAAAAGCTTCAATATTTTCAAACAAACCCTTGCATAATGGGACAGGTTGGCTGGTGTAGGTGCTGAGGTCAACTGGGAACCGGACTTCGTCGTGATGACACAACCGCGTTTTACCTCAAATTTACGCAATAATTTCTTAACATTTTTATGTGACTATAGATTGTTTATAATGTAATTTGAACCTTAATTAAGGCAATACTACAAATCTGCATGTGATTTTAAGTGTTTATAGTGTATTTCGAGTAATTCTGAGGAATTTGGCAGATTTTTGATAAATCTGACAGATTTTTGAAGTGCATTTAGCAGAATTTGGCCATGACCTTACGGTCACCTTGCTTACATGTGGTATAAGGCAATTTGAGACCAGCCATTTCAAGCTGAACATTTTTAACTATTCAGAAAATTCGTTGTTAACCATTTCTGACTTCTTGGATGTTTTTTGTTCCTCCAGATTTACCAGGTTCTTTTATGGGCCTGGGAGAAACAGATGAAACTGAATTGAAGAAAGGTACACATTGTAATTCCTGTGGTTTTATTCTTATGTCAGGAACAAATCCGTTATGAATACTTCAAACTAACTTTTGTATGTGCTCGTGGAATGTACACTTTCATCGAAAACAGTGAAAATCCTTGCAGAATTTCTTCATAAAGTAACCTGTCTGATTTTATCAATGGAAGTAGCAAGCTTGATCCAGCCTCAGCGAAAACAAGCTTGAAACTCAGTGTTGCACTGGAGTCCATCACAAGTCAAATCACAAGTAAATCACAAGTCCAGTCAGTGCAGTCACAAGTAAATCACAAGTCCAGTCACAAGTAATAGTGGACGAACAACAACAAACTAATGCCATATTATCCCATTTCATAGCCTTGTGATGGACTTGTGATTGCCTTGTGATAGACTTGTGATGGCCTTGAGATAGCCTTGTGATAGACTTGTAATTGCCTTGTGATAGACTTGTGATGGCCTTGTGATGGACTTGTGATGGACTTGAGATTGCCTTGTGATTGCCTTGTGATTGCCTTGTGATGGATTTGTGATTGCCTTGTGATAGACTTGTGATAGACTTGTGATAGACTTGTGATAGACTTGTGATGGACTTGTGACTGGACTTGTGATACACTTGTGATAGACTTGTGATGACTTGTGATATACTTGTGATGGACTTGTCGTGGACTTAGTATGGACTTGTGATTTACTTGACTACAACATTGCTGGGATTCATGCTTGTAAAAATAATATGATGTCCATGACTGAATCTGGCCGAGTGGCTCTAGTTTACTATACCTTTACTGGAACACATTAGCTGTTAGCTTTCAAATCTCTCAGATTTCTTATCCACAGGTTCAGATGCTACTGATGAAGACGATGATGATGATGATGTACGCAGCACCGCCAGCGTGCAGAGACCTCAAGCCATTGGTTTCTGTCATGCCCTGATACTACCTGGGGTAGCATTGGTAAGTCTTCATCTCAATTTCTTGGCTGGTGTGTAACACATGCCCCTGTGGGTAGTGGCTTAAAGGCAATATACAGCATTTGCAAACATCAAAAAACAAAACTACCAAATTATTATGAAATACCTTTCTGGAATTTCTGTGAATAATAGTCTCAAGGATCCTGTAAAATCATGGCACCTGGTGTGCTGTCATTTTCAAGAAAAGTGGAATTTTTGTATCAATTTCCAACAATGGTCGGCTGTCCATCATTGGAAAAAAATGGCTTTTTTTTCTCAAAAATAACCACCAAATAACCACCAATCGGGTTACAATCGCGTGGTTGATTTATTTTGTCATCCTTGTGTTTAGTTTGCACTTTGCTACGCCTGTCTGAAGCTGGTCAACTACGCCTTTTTCTTCTGGCTCCCTTACTACCTGAGTAACACCTTCCTATGGACGGAAGTAGTGTCGGACCAGATGTCCATGTTCTACGATATTGGGGGAATCATTGGTAAATAAACAAGAATATATAAATATAACATGGTCTGAGGGTGGATAGTTGATATTATAGCACCTCACCCGCAGATTCTGTGTCTTGATTGGCCGAAAGCGAGTCACATGTTACTTTCTAATTTTGCTATCTTTCTGTGCACGGCCAAAAGTACTATGCGCATAGCAACCAAAGTACTATACCATTAGCAACCAAAGTACTATTTCCACGGCGTGGTATTTGTGTGCAAATGCATGCTGATGTGCGCGTTGCGTGTACGGTGCGTATTATTCCAAAGAGAGCGCGCTGCAGACTTGGGTTCAAGCTATTGGAAGTTGACAAACAAGTTCCCAAGGAGAAGCCGAGGGAACGTGTTTGTCAACTTCCAATCAAGACTTACAGCTGGGATGGGATTGTCACTAGTCACCCCACCCATTAGCTTTCAATGTGAAATTGGAATTAAAACAACGTCGATTCCAGCAGATGCCATATTTAACTGATTTTCTATTGGCTTGTTTTTCTGGAAAAGATGAAAGTGTACCAGTACAACCTAGTAAGTTCCATTGAATTTATTAAAAAACTTGGTCAATTTTCTTCCTCGTTTTGTTTTACTTTTACTTTTAGGAGGTGTGTTTGGCGGTTTGATATCTGATCGTATAGGTGTACGCTCGCCAGTTGTTGTAGGGATGCTGGTCTTTTCCTACGGTATTCTATTTGGATACAGCTGTAAGAAATCTTCTTTTTAAATTTCCTAATTGATTTTCAAGTGATACTAGATCAAAATTAATTTTGTTTTTATCCAAGAGTAAATAATATATTGGAATCATCATCATGCGTGTATACTTTTCTTTTATAAATGTTCCCCAAATTTCTGAAAATTTTTTCAAAGTGCACTTACATACCTAAATGTGCCCCTTTTTACTCTTGCATAGGGACCAACATGTAAAAGTTGTATCAGTAGCAGATCTAGAGGGGGGTTTGGGGGTCACACATCCCCTCCCCCCTCCACCCACCACGACCCTGCCCCCACCCCCAGCCCCACCCCTCACCCCGTTTAGCCGCTGACCAACGTTATGATACTAGTAAAATAGGGCCAAAAATATTAAATGGAATGCTAAAGTTCTTAAATTTATTCTCCCATTGCCTTAGAATGCAGGAGAAAGCATCAAAAACTGGCTTCCAAAAAGAAATTTGGGCAAGCCTAGCAAGGCACGCCTTTATTCACCCACCCGCCCCCCCCCCCACTTCCATATCAACCCCCCGCCCCTTTCCTGAAAGCTAGATCCGCCCCTGGATATGAGCGCTATAAGAAATACATATTTCATGTATTATTATTATTATTATTGTGTTATTACAGTTTGTCCTAACAGTTACATTCTAAACGCTGTCCTGCTAACGTTGGTTGGCATATTCGTGAACGGCGTAGCCCACGTGATCAGCTCTGTGGTAGCAGCTGATCTGGGCCAGCAGGACGCCATTAGGGGTTGCCGGGAGGCCCTCGCCACGGTAACGGGAATCATCGACGGGACAGGAACAATGGGGGCTGCTGTAGGCCAGGTGTGTAATGGCTGACCAAAAAGAATTCGTTTGTAACTGTCATGAATTGTGTTCGAGAGGAATTTCACTTTTGTTCATCTATTACGTATGTTAATTTACTTGCTCTTCATGAACAGCAGAGGAGGCTTTGTGATTACTTCTGAAAGTCCATGTGGGTGGAACACTGTGTGCGTGTACTGGGCCCAATTTCACGGCGCTGCTAAGCACAAAAAAATTGCTTAGCACAAAAAAAGTCTGGCTTCAAAAAGCAGGTTATCAGCCAAAACTCCATGTGATTTTCATGCTAAGCAAACAACAGCTGAATACTAATCACAAGCAATATACATCACATGGAGTTTTGGCTGGTAACCTGCTTTTATAAGCCAGACTTTTTTTGTGCTAAGCAAATTTTTGTGCTTAGCAGCGCCTTGAAATTGGCCCCTGGTTGGCGCGTATGTGGAGTACGCACGGTTTACTTATGAGGCGTTCTGGCAAATGAGAGTTCAAAATGAGGGTTTGCAGGTATTGTGAAAGAGAGTGAAATTCTCCGTACAATACTGTTTTGTTGCACCTCAATTCCGTTAACAAACTATGGCTGCTTAAACTTTGCATTGATCGACAAGTCAAACAAGTAAAACATTGAGAAAAAGGCCTTTAAAGTTTGAGTTTTGTATTCGTGAAAATGAAAGATGGCAACTGTTTTTCCTTTAAAACACTTTTATTCCACATATTTTATACTATTATATGTAGCAGACATATCAAATATGAAATAATATGAATAAATCTGAATAAATCTGAAAATTGAAAAAAAAAAAAAAAAAAATTCATTTTTGTTCCCACTATGGTTTGTGCCCAGTTCCGTCTCACATTGCGAGAACGCCTCACATTTGCCTCAGTGCTGTGGGTCAATATACCAGACCAGACGCCTCTCGTTTTATTCTGTATGTGCTCAAACTGTATTGTCTTCGCGTGAGCATCAGTCGCCTCCCGTAATGCATTCAAACATCCCTCTCAAAGGTCTCCCCCATTCTCCCTTTGTTACCATTCCATTTCAGAGAAATAGGATCTTATGTCCTTGTGCAAGGCACTTTACAAACATTTGTACTATTGTCTATGAAGTATTTTATGTCTCTTCTCTCGCATGTACATGTAGATCATCGTACCAGTTCTACAAATGAACTACGGTTGGCCCTCTGTGTTCTACTTCTTGGCAATTATTGTAAGTATCATTTTGTTTTCCTTTTACAACATATTTTGGAAGATTGTTTAATGTTTCTAGTACTATTAACAAACATCCATATCTGCCCTTTTAACGCGTATCTTTTTCACCATTGGGGAGTCAGGTTGACGTAGCGGTACTTTCCTCGCCTTCCACCGCTGTAACCCGGGTTCGAATCCCGCCTGGGCCAACATGTGGATTGGATTTTCAGTCCCTGCCTGATTCCGTGGGTTTCCCCAGAATATTCCTCTGGGCTTTTCCTCCCACCTCTAAAACTGTAACTTCTTCTCATTGTCTTCTCTCCACAGGTTTCTTCAGGCTTGCGAGCTACAGTGCCTAGGGCGCTTTTGAGGAATCCTTGGTTTCATTGCCAGAAAGAAATAAAATAAAGTAAATAAAATCATTTCAACCAACAAAATTATTATTATTGTTATTAATTATTATTAATTATTTATGGCGATGAAACCAAGGATTCCTCAAAAGCGCCCTAGGCACTGTAGCTCGCAAGCCTGAAGAAACCTGTAGAGAGGAGACAATGAGAAGAAATTACAGTTTTAGAGGTGGGAGGAAAAGCCCAGAAGAATATTCTGGGGAAAACCCACGGAATCAGGCAGGGACTGAAAACCCAATCCACATATTGGCCCAGGCGGGATTCGAACCCGGGTCACAGCGGTGGAAGGTGAGGAAAGTATCGCTACGCCAACCTGACTCCCCTGTGGTGGTTGCTAAATTGTAAAAAACCTCAATTGACAATTCAGTCATCTTAAAAAGAGTTAATTTGATTGAATATAATTTGGAAACATTGTACGTGTGAAATCTAGTCTCCATTTTCAAGTTATCTTGGCAACTAAATTTGTATTATTTTCTTTGTTGTATTTCAAAGATATGTGCATTGTTTTCTTTCATTGCAGTCGATAATTGGAACTTTTTTCATCTTGCCAGTATTTGTGAAGGAGCTAAAGAAATTGCACAATCGGTCAAAGTACCATGAAAAGTAGGACTTGGTCTGTAAAAGCACCCAGAATCTGAACAGTACTCTGCAGCATAAGGTTTAAAGATATATCGGAATTATTTATTCAATTTAATAATTTAGATTTTCAGTGATGCAGTGGGAAAAATGAATTCACTGATGCATGTGTACAGCAATAGAATATTAGTTATTATGTGTAAGTAATTTTTTTATGTTTCATTTACTCAAATGTTCCTTTTTCCCCTTGTCTTCAACTTTTTCTACAGTCTTCTGTTGTTTGCTCGTACTTTGGTTTATTTCTTGTTTTTAATTTTGTAAATGTCCGTTGCTTGGATCGATGCATGTGTTTACTTCAGTGTATCACTTTGAACCCTGTTTGTTTGTTTGTTGTTTGTTAGGTTGCTTGTTTGTTTGTTATTTTTTTGCAACAAAGCCAAAGCAATAGTGCCATTAATTGGACATGAAAAGTAGAATATATTAATTCTTAAGTTGTATGTATTACATGTTGTATTGCAAAGATATGTTAATTATTTTGTTTTATACATGTAGTTGGGGGCCGTATCATAAGTCCGACGCCTCATAGGTCCAACGTCTCATAAGTCCGAAATTTTTGACTTATGAGGCGTCGGACTTATGAGGCATAAATTCTCATAGATCCAATGACTCAAAAGTCCGACGACTCATAAGTCCGACAATGGACAAACGCTGTTTCGGACTTATGAGGCATCGGAGCTATGGACGTCGGACTTATGAGGCGTCAGACCTATGAGGCGGAATAAATAAATTTTATGCCTCATAAGTCCGACGCCGCATAAGTCCGACACCTCATAAGTCCAAAATTTCGGACTTATGAGGCGTCGGACCTATGAGGCATCGGACTTATAAACGGACCCCTGTAGTTCAACATACATTAGCAGCTGTACTACATTATGTTACTCTGTATTTTTATTCCCTGCTGAAGCCATAAAACCATAGAGTGGGGCAGTTTTGGGCAGTACAGGGACTATAGGGATTAAAGGGAAGATACAACATCACAAAATACCATACTGGATTGTTAGGGAATGACAGTCTACAGCATCCTGTAAAATCATGGCTCCTGGTGTGCTGACATTTTCAAGAAAAATGGTATTTTTCCAACACTGGTCGGCCGACCAGCGTTGGAGAAAACTGGCTTTTTTGAAAAAACTGCTCCTACTTTTTCATAATTAGTTATTCCGCGTTTTCTTTGCAATTGATTACACAACTGTGAAGGGGTACAAGCCTGCTAGACTGATTCTCTGACCTTACAATTCCCCAAAGTCTATAAATTCTCCATTTCATCTTAAATGGGGTCAGGGAACCAGACTACAAGAACATGAAACGAGTCATTTTAACAATATTTGCTTTAAACATACTAATCCTCCGAATCGATTTATTTCTGAAAAGTGCAGCAAAAGCAAATGTTGTACTTTCCCTTTAAGTCAGTGTGAGATTGATGTATGGTTAGCCCTTGACATAGTAAAGTGCAGTTTGTTCAGTGAGGACGATGTGTGAGTTAAACATGGTGCATGTTACTCTATGCCCTGTATGGTAAGCTCAGGTTAAAATAGCATTTGTATGTATATTTATTTTAAACTGCAGTTTTCCATTATTACAAATATGATTGAAAAAGATCTTGGACATAGATATACTACCACTTTTTTTAGGTCAAATATGTTTGCCTTTTAGGTTATTGGAGGTGATTTTTGAAAAACCATAGTTTAAAATTTGACATTTTTAAAGATATATAACGAATAAATCTACTCTTTATTGTTTTGTTTCAAAGAAAATGTTCACTGGTCAGTTAAGAACATAAAAAAATTTTAAAAATTGATAACAGTTGCATATCTAGGAAAATTGCCTAAATAGGAAACATATTATTTTAGTTTGTGGATGGCAGTCTGGAAAAACAAAAAGTAGTATTTAGTTTCAGTTGAACTAACAAAGTTGTGAAGTTTGGTAATTAGTTCAGATTAGTTAAGATTATAACAGTCTTCCAGATATTTTCAGACATAGTTAAAAACCAAAAAAGTGTTAAGTTTGAAAGCTAAAGAAATGTTTCCAGGCAGAATTTCACTTGTTGCACCAAACGTATTTAACCTCCCCCCCCCCTTCCGACCCCCCCCCCCCCTTAAAAAGTAATAATAATGTAGGCGTCCTTAAGTGAGTTAAAATAAACACTGCATTTTCAAGTGACACATAATTTGTCTTGATCTTTTATTTTCTTCCTATAGGCCTGTTAAAATAATTGAAAAAAATGTTGCATCCTGTCGCCACTTTTTTCTTCATATATCATCTCAATGAAGGTCAGTCGTTGCAAAAATGATGATAAGACATGAATCTGTGGCTGAGAAACATTTCCAATTTTGTTAGGAAATACTTAGAAAATGTTTTTGACTCTCCATAGTACGGTGGCCCACAACTGTCACGGCAAAAGCAAAAGCGCCGCGGCAAGCGCAAAAGCGCCGCGGCAAGCGCAAAAGCGCCGCGGCAAGCGCAACAGCGCCACGGCAAGCGCAAAAGCGCCACGGCAAAAGAAAAAGCGCCACGGCAAAACAAAAAGCGCCGCGGCAAAAGAAAAAGCGCCACGGCAAAAGAAAAAGCGCCACGGCAAAACAAAAAGCGCCACGGCAAAACAAAAAGCGCCGCGGCAAGCGCAAAAGCGCCACGGCAAGCGCAAAAGCGCCACGGCAAGCGCAAAAGCGCCACGGCGAAAGCAAAAGCGCCACGGCGAAGGCAAAAGTGCCACGGGTTTATTGGGAAGGGGCGTAATCATACATGCCGCTACTACATCAAAAAATAAAATGGGAAGGAGAATGGCCGCCACCAGGAATTCTTATTAAGCACAGAATTTAATTCTTTGAGAAGTGATTTCATGGCTGAGAAAATAGCAAGGCCAAGGAAAACCGGTCAGGAAATAAATCGTCGATATTAATTTGTTGTAGGATAATTATTATTCCAAGAGAGTTGCTGCCGTGAATCAGAGTTTATCAAGGAGTGGGACTCGCTATCAGCACCATCAGGGCCGTTCCTCTTTTCTTTACATTTCTTGGGATGCAAATAATTACGAGGACGGGAGGCTCTGTGAGCTGATGCATTTTTTTGAAGAGTTTTTTTCCTTCCGACTAGCATGCAGAGAAGAGTTCCGTTAATTTGAGACTTAGTTCACCCATGGGCGTCGCGAGGGGGGCAAGGGGGCGCTCCCCCCCCCCCCCCCGGAATAGCACACAAAAAAGGAAGGGGAAAAAACTGAGAGAAAAAAAGAAAAGAAAAAGAGGCGCGAAGTCATAGTGGTGTAAATTGAATGAGTTGGGGGGGGGGGCAAAATGTCCCTGCCCCCGTCTAAAACTGAGAAATCGAGAATTTGTTCAGAAATACAAGAATTTTTTGGGAAAAATATGTTTTGCCCCCTTTAGAAAAAATTCTGGCGACGCCCATGAGTTCACCGGTGTGTATACCAGTGTAGGCACACAATTGAGCTGCCCAGAGTTTGGATATAGAATAAGAAAGAAAGAAATTAACTCAGAACCTAGAACTCATTGGCCCACCCACCCCCGGCTCAAGAAACCAACAAGCCGAACAAGACCTCATGATGCTTAGCGATAGCGATGATGAGTTGCCCTGTGGACAGTCTTCCACATCATCGCAGAATCAGCCTGCAGGGCAGAAAGAGGGCTTGTTTCCGGCATCAAATAGTTCCGTATTCACTCGAAACAAAGCAAACGGCTCTTTTCAGAGCCACCAAATTTTCATAGAAGAGCTTAGAACTGTGCATCTCAACGATAACACTTCTCCTTTGTTTAGTGTCTCTCCCTTACCCCCCCCCCTTTTTAAGTTAATTTCTTTCTTTCTGATTCTATATCCAAAGTCTTCGCCTGTGTTACGTTCCTTACATGAAATCCACGACCTAACCTCCTCTGTCGAAAGCGTTGCAACTGTCTAATAGAACGATCCATTTCTCGATTTGTGAGTTATCTTCAACTCAGTCGTGTTTATTGGGAAGGGGCGTAATCATACATGCCGCCACTACATCTAAAATTAAATGGAAAGGAGTATGGCCGCCACCATGAATTGAGAAGTGATTTTATGGCTGGGAAAATAGCAAGGAAAACCGGTCAGTGCAAGCAACGTTCAGCGAAGAGTTTTGAAATTCCCGCTCTCTGGGAATTTCTAACCTAATGGGCCCGCGGGCGAGTTACGTGTTGACAAGCCTTACCCACCCACTGCCGCAGCCCTGCAGGAGAGCCTTAATCGACTTCCTATAGATGTGTATGATATACTGAAAAAGAAAAAAAAAATTAACTCATACACTCTGGGCAGCTCACTTTCGTGCCTACACTGGTATACACACCTGTGAAAAAAAGGCTCAAATTAACGGAACTCTTCTCTGCATGCTAGTCGGAAGGGGAAAAAAAAGTTTTCAAAAATGCATCAGCTCACAGAGCCTCCCGTCCTTGTAATTGTTTGCATCCCACGAAATGTAAAGAAATGAGGAACGGCCCTGATGGTGCCGATAGCGAGTCCCACTCCTTGATAAACTCTGATTCACGGCAGCAACTCTCTTGGAATAATAATTATCCTACAACAAATTAATATCGACGATTTATTTCCTGACCGGTTTTCCTTGGCCTTGCTATTTTCTCAGCCATAAAATCACTTCTCAAAGAATTAAATTCTGTGCTTAATAAGAATTCCTGGTGGCGGCCATTCTCCTTCCCATTTTATTTTTTGATGTAGTAGCGGCATGTATGATTACGCCCCTTCCCAATAAACCCGTGGCACTTTTGCCTTCGCCGTGGCGCTTTTGCTTTCGCCGTGGCGCTTAATTTGCGCTTGCCGTGGCGCTTTTGCGCTTGCCGTGGCGCTTTTTGTTTTGCCGTGGCGCTTTTTGTTTTGCCGTGGCGCTTTTTGTTTTGCCGTGGCGCTTTTTCTTTTGCCGCGGCGCTTTTTGTTTTGCCGTGGCGCTTTTTCTTTTGCCGTGGCGCTTTTATTTTTGCCGTGGCGCTTTTGCGCTTGCCGTGGCGCTGTTGCGCTTGCCGCGGCGCTGTTGCGCTTGCCGCGGCGCTTTTGCGCTTGCCGTGGCGCTTTTGCTTTTGCCGTGACAATTGTGGGCCACCGTACCATAGACTTTGCACACAACGGCTGAAGTGGCGTCAGGTTGTAACATTTTTTTCCAAATAATTTACATGTACAAGTCAAATTTATCTGAGCACTTTGTTTCTGATTGGGATCTGGGTCTTTGTTTTCATAGAGTTTTAGGTGTTATTTAGGGTGCTAATAATTTCTTCTTGAGACGGGGTTTGAGCTTTTGTGTATTTCGATCAAACGAGCCCTTTCACAATAATGCATGACTGATGCGCGAATATTCTTACAGTTTAGCCTGAAACTTTTGTTCTTTAATTTAAGACGTATGGTGGCGCCCTTTACATGCTCCGTTGGGAAGATTGGTTGATGGTCTGCTGTATGTAGTACATCTTGACTGCATGACTGAGGTCGCGTGGCAACTAACTACAAAAACTTTTGCGGCAACACCACCGCCTGCTTGTGGTTGACCAAAAAATGCACGGTTTTATGAAAAGTGGGAGGGGATGGGTACGATAACGCAATTTCAAGTTCTCTAAGTATGTATTTCTTTTTCTTGTCTTTATTTCTTTTTGCAAGCAATAATTTTTTTCGGGGGGGGGGGCAATAAAACCAAATTTCCCCAATTTGTCTGAATAACAAATGCCATAACCAGAGAACATGATAAAATGCTCTAGACCTACGTCTGTACTCGTTGCACCACAGCTAGTCAACCAATGCGTTTGCTGCCCCCAATATATATCTCAAGTATTGGTGTGTGCAAAGAGCAAGACCTTCACGGGAAGGGGGGGGGGGGCAAGGTAGGGCAGGGGCGTAACCAACAAAGAGGTGCATGGCCAAAATAAAATACGCAACAGAAAAAAACATTAACGATTACTGTCTGTATTATTCCATCTTGGGTGTGCTCTTAACAAAAGCGAATACTTCATTTCTCGTAACGAAATTTCAACTTGTAGACCTATGTTTAATTTTAGCGTTTTATTTTATTTTCTGCATCTGTTGAACTCTTTGAATGAATGGATTTTTGTTGCTTTACTAAACTTTGCGCAGAACAGATCCGTCATTACACCCTGCGATTAGACTGATTCCTAAATAAATACGTTGTCGATTCTGATGGTGTATAGAGAAATGGAAGGGATTTCAAAGGCGTAAGGTCTATTCAAATAATTTGGGACCTATTTATTAATTTTTTTGTGGATGAATAGTGAACAAGTTTCGTATTGCAAGGAAAAAAATATTTTCGGAGTGAAACTCGAACCACGAACAGTAGGATATGATTTCGGGGGGGGGGACGTGTATCGAACAATTCACCTCAATATCGGCATGGCTCTATTTTTAGCTGTATGATCTTTTTAACCATAGTTTTGTTCTCAAAATAAACAAAAATCTTCAGTACATGCAGGATTCAAGCCGTTGAGTCATTGATCGTACATTGTAGTTAAATTCTACTAAATAGTTCCCAACACTTTTGTAGAAAAAAAATGTGGTTTTTTAAAGAAAAAGGAGAGAAAACCCCTTTATTACGCCAGGCTGGCTACAGGCCTGTATTTAATTTAAAAATAATAATAATAATAACGAGTAATAATATATTTTGTTTAAAGGGGAAACAACCGACAGACAAAATGACCAATTCTTCACAGTTTACTGATAGAAGTTGGTCACCCTGTGCTATTTGTTAGTTCAACTCTGAAAAAAAGTGTTATTTTAAAAAAGTTACTATTTTCGAGCAGTAGCTATGTTACAAAAGTCCCTTAATATGAATGAGGCATAGAACCAAAAAATCCTCCCACGTTTAGTTATGGAATATACTCTACACAAATTTCGATTTTGTTTTTATATTTTTTTTCCCGTCCCGACAATAATTCAGACGTATACATTGGGTGGAAAATCATCCCAAAATAAAGGCATTTTTTCAGAGTTTGAAAACGTATAGGGGCAATTCCAAGGTTACTCACGTTACATTTTTGTAACGTGAGTAACCGATTTTGTGCGTCTTGTTTATCATACATCACACATTTTTCTGGATGTCATCTTTGGTGCTTAGGTAGGTCTCAAAAGTACATCAAAAATGTAACGTGAGTAACCGTGGAATTGCCCGTAGGGCCTATACGTGTAATATAGAAAAAAAATCGGTTTAATTTAAGGATTCAAATTGAAAATTCGTCGAGAAAAAAATGGAATATGTTGAAAAGCACGGGTCAGTAGAGCAACTTTACTTTGCAAATTACTAAGAACCTACTGCTGCACTGGCCTGATTTAAAGCAAACCTTATGTAGACATGCTCAGTTTTTTTCCCTAAAGAGCATCTTTTTCAACGGCACTTAAATGATGACAAAAATCGTGCTCAAATCAAGAAGAACCTGACCTAGGTTTCTAGATTAAGGGAAATCACTCTCAATAACAAATATCCTTGATAATACAAAAATAATTTGTAGGCCTATACGCTTTACAAAAAGTTACGAATCATAGACTTTTCCGTTGAATGATTAGTTAAAGCTTTAATAAAATATCTTTATAAATCATTTAGATTTTTTTTAACGAATTGAATGATCTGTTTTGACCGTTTGCAATTAAGCGTAGTGCTTGAAAAACATGAGCGACAAATGTCAAGCTTATGACAAATTCTGACTCATGGACACCAAAGTCAAAATTCCTAGCTGAACACCATGTACCGCCGCACTGTGCGATGTGATATGCGTTGTGTTCAGTGCATGCTGCCTTGACATTCACACCGTAGTAAAATGATTCAAAAAATTCTGCGTCAAAACACTCCATAAATAGCCCAAAATTGGCCCACATTGTCATATAACATAAAGGTGAAGGAGAAAGAATTTTGCGTTACAACTCCCCTAATTGGGCTTCATTCAAGCCCAAACGAAAGGCACGCTACCCATAATACATTGCCTAATAGATCTAGGCATGCGTACTGGTGCTTTTGTTAGAGGCTCAGAGCACATGGCGGGTTTCTGAAAGTCCCAAACATTCCTCGGATTTGATAGTGCAAATATTTTGCACAACTGTCATTTTTTACAAGGAAACATTTCCCCACTCATGTCTTCTTGATCTACGATTGCATTCTCATGACCCTGGACGATGGGTTTTTCGGGATTTTTGGAGTATATCGAGCGGATTTGCCCGCAGGCGTGCGAAAGAGTCGACCTGGGACAACTCGCGAGAAAACGGCTTCAGCAGAGCGCGGGGCCCGGCCGTCGTGGCCGGGCCCTGGTCGGCCAAAACCCTCTCTTTCTTCTGGTGGACGCGGAGAGCTGTTTACACCGTCTGTATGGCGGGAGTTTCACGGACTGGGTATGTGGTGGTGAGTGGAATAACATGTTCCACTTTGTGGACAATCTCGCCCGTGCATGCCGAAGCAACAACATCAAGCTTATCGTGTTTTTCTCCGGGAGTTTGGAGAAGGGACGAATACAAGAATGGATCAAGACGCAAAACCAGGCTCGGAACACGGCTTACCAAGTTTTGTCCCACGTCCACAACAAGGGAACCCCTCCACCAAAGGCGTGGTTCACACCTCCAGTGGCCATCGGTAAGTATCCCCAACCCCCTGGTCATTCTTGTGGTGCTTCTCCTGGGGCCTTTTGCCAGGCCCGCAGGTGAAAAGCGTCCCTGGTTTGTGGTCGTGTGCTTTGTTTTGATTTGTTCAGTACACGCGCTTTGTGTGGCGGCCATTTAGCTTTTGTTTGCTGTCGTTGTGTGCGCGCACAACCTCAATGTTTTTGACCAGCCAAACTACACGTGCTTTTCAGCCGTGTTAAAACTCGTGGCCCAAACACCCACCAAATTCACTCCTCATGTTCGTAAACCGTCCTAAACATCCTTGATATTTCATCAGAATGCAACAGCTTAAAGTGGTGATACGTTTTGGCGGAAAATGGGTTAGCCCAGTGCTGAGGAATCCTGCGGTTTTGACGGCGTTCGGCGTGCATAGGAAATTGGTTTGACCACAAAGCCCCCAAAACAATGCTTGCGGTTTTGGCAAGGGCTTAACGGTGTCACCCTAATGCGAAAGATCTTATTACATTAATCCCATATGTCATTCTTAAATGGAGGGAGGTGATACATTAATGAATATTTCCTTTTTGGTTTGGAATAGTGCTAAGTGGTTTTTAAAAGGTGTTGAAGTTCAAGCTTTTAGTAGGGGGTTTAAACTGTTCATTGATATTTTTTTTCAACTGCACCAGACTTAAACAAGTTTGAATAGCCGTTTCTGGTATGGGCTCCGTGTACAAGTACCCCCTCAACAGTAAGAAATGGAGAGTTGGGGGAGACCACAAGGAGAGACATTCGAACACATTGACGATCTTGACGCTCAGTCACACAAAGACGCTTTGACTTTGTGCACATTCAGTTAAAACTAGTTGTGCGTACTTCGCCCCTATGCGCTCGAATCAGTACGTGCACATGGTGTGTCCCGTCTATGGGGCTCTCAAAAGTAGTTGAAAAGCGCCCTCTCTTGTTGGCGCACGAGGCCAAGGGCCCCTCTAAATTGAAATTAAAATTATTTTAGTTGTAGGATGAAAAAATTGTATGTAATATTTTGACTTCAATTAGCAAAGAAAATTCAAGAGTGCAAGTTTTTATACTTTATGCAATATCTGCCATATTTCTTACTTTCTTGCATTTTTCTTGTTTCTTGTTTGCCAATAGCTCAAAATATTTTTTTCATGCAAATTTCACAAAGTACCCAAACACAGAAAGATTTCCATATACGAAGTTCACTCAACATCCTGTGTACAAACCCTATGAGATTGGACTGAAAAATTCTAAGTGTTTTCTAAGAAAATGCTTGTATTTTCTCACTGCTCAAATTGACTTTGATGACATGAAATTGCTATCTGGGGGCTTGTTAGTCAATACAGAGGAAAATTAGTGAACTTCGTATATGGAAATCTTACCGAAAATTCAAGAGTGCAAGTTTTTATACATTTTGCAATATCTGCCTTATTTTTTACTTTCTTGCATTTTTGTTTCTTGTTTGCCAATAACTCAAAAATATTTTTCATGCAAATTTCACAAAGTACCCAAACACATACCTGTAATTTTATGTCTGATCCTAAAGTTTGTACTCAAAATTATATTTCTTTTTTTATTTGGAAATACAATGTACTTATGAAAGTGAAAGGTACTATGGTGAAACAGTACACACGCTTGGTGGAGAGGCATGTCAATTGTAAGGGTGTCCTGCTGTGAGCTTTGAGGGCCGATGTGCATTCTTACTGTATAGTCTGACAGTCCTACCTTATACCAGCGATATGTATTAGCAGCAGAGTCTGCATGCTATCAAAACAAAGCTTTCAACGGAGTGGCTGGTGGTACAAAAAGAACCTTGGACAAATACAAGTTATTAAAAGCTTAAGTACAGACAGTCTGCGTGATTGAAAAAAAAATGGCAAAGTGAAAAACTGAATGAACTGTAATATATTGTGCTGACAGTCACTATCTATGGCAGAGATTTTCAAAGTAGTGTTTTGCGATATCCAACTGTACATGCCTTTGCATCTAGAACTAATATTTTTTCTCAAAAGGTTTTTAATATTCATTAATTTATGGTTAAAATAAAACCTTATTCTTCTTTAAGAACAAAGTAAATTTGTTGCAGCATTTCTTAACCTATGCTATGTTCAGCTTTGGAAACCTTCCCAACTGAAATGAAGGTTGGCTCAGTGATTTCTAACCTCCGACCTTCAGTCTATATTTAGCCATCCATGTTTGGAACACTCCATTTGCTACAGGGGTAAAGTCATTGACCTTGATTTACTCACTGACTCGCTCCATTGGTGATGGAGGGCCCCATCTGCCAATAAAATCAGTCTTCAAAATCTGATCAGATTAAAAACTGACAGTAGGCTGTAGTTTGCTCTTTGTGCTCTGAAATTTCAAATTGGCTAGGCTTAGTTTTTTGCCCGTGTGGTAAACGTTATCATTAAGTGATACTGAAGTTCTAAAGAATTCATTTTGCTAAGTTTTCTTGATATTTAGAAATCTTCTATGGACATGATCATTCTAACATGGGCATTAGACAGATTTTTAATGACTGATAATGACTTTACCTCTACCTTAATTTTGTGTCCAGTGCAGAATGGCCGTGTAACCCACCATCCCTCAACACCTCCCCACCCCTCTCCACACCTCCAATCCTTCACCCCCCACAACCCCAATCCCTCCCCCAAAACCCCCTTCCCCCTCTTTCCCCACAGCCCCTACCCTTATCTCCACACCCCTATTCCCCATCCCCACACCCCTTTCCCTACTCCTTTTTCCTACACCCCCACCCCAATCCCCCATCCCCTTTCCCCCACCCCCTTTCCCCCACCCCCACCCCCACCCCCTTTCCCCCACCCCAACCCTCCCCCTCCTTACCACATGAGTCACTCCTTGGTTTTTTTCTGTGCTGCAGCAAGTATGGAACTGTTGATGACAAGCGTGTATGAATCATATTTCAGCACAGATGGCTATTTTAGGCATCTTGCACGGTTCCCTTATGCGGGTCCTGGGGGAGGAAAAAAGATGTGAAGATGGATGGGCCGTTGATGATCTGTAGTGATATGAGTCACTACCAACCTCCTGCTTGCTGAAGTAAAGATGATGCTTGGGAAAAAAGAAGGAGGATCTGCGTTGGGCAGGGCTGGTTGTTAGTGGGCATTTGGCGTGAAGGGAGTTAACATGTGTTTGACTACTTGTTATCAGTGGATGTAATCAAATGAGCAATTGTTGGTAGCTGATTGTAGTGGCTGTAACTGTATTCAACATTGGTTGAGGGTTGAGATGGATGAACAGTTTTCCTTTATCTGCAGTCATTTTGAATGGTGGGAACTTGTGAATTGTTACAGTGTGTAGAGTGCAACGACCTCTCTCCAAAACAAAACCAGTGTCGGGATCTGGAGAATGCTTACCGAGGTCCGAGGACATCTTGTGGCAATCAGTGCTGTGGTTTGATGAGTCTGTCATGGCTAGACTGATCTGAGCTGTTCTGTGGCGCTCAGGTATTCCTGAGAGTAAATAGTCACAAATCAGAAACAGTATGTTTTGAGCTGATCTTGTTTTCTCCAAACTTTGTGTGTACATTTTTGGGTCGCCTTTACTTTAACATGTAGATGCTTATGTTGCCACACTTACTCAGAATATATATTTTAAATTAACAAAAACTTTATTGTCAATGTGAAAATAGCCTGTAGCCGCAACCCAGAACTAGGGACTGGCTTGGTTTGATACGAACAATGGCCAGCAGAACAACGGAAGGCTCTTTCACTCCACAGTCGGACTTTGACTAAAACGGTCTGGTGAATCACATATTGGGTTCCTGAGCTGCTACCATAATTCACTTCTTTTCCCGTGGTTCTCCCTCCTTCCATAGAACCTGTCTTGTCCGTCATTGTTAGGCTCTGCCCGCTGCACCTGTCGCAGTTGTCAAAGTCGTGAGCCAGCTTTTCACTTGTGTACATTTTCTACATCGATCTTTGTGGACCCTTTGCAGAAGTTTGTGATGTGGAGTCCTGATTACATTTTTGGAGCCGGAGGGAAGAATGTGCTGGCTCTTAGAAATGTTTAAGAATAGAAAGGGATTAAAATAACCAAATTGAAAACCCAATCCCCTACCCTATCCCCCACCCAATTTCCCGACCTATTCCCTATTCCTATCCTGCACACCACCCCTAAAAAAACCGGGGACGAACCTGTGTTCACAGGAACGGAGTGCTCATCTGTCTTTCGAAGCGATTGGGCCAGACTTGAGTCCATGAAATGCTGCTGTGGGGGGATTACCACACCACCTCCACAGCGAGTCTGTTACCTTCCCAGCATTGAATAATGCCGGTACCCATTTAACACCTGGGTTGAGAGGAGTAGTTGAGGTAAAGCGCCTTACTCAAGGGCACAACATGCGTGGCCACGGCGGGGCTCGAACCCACAACCTCACAATCATGAATCCCGTGCTCTACCGCTAGACCACACGTGCCCACTAACCATCCCTACCCCTAGTACCCCAAACCTTTCTCCCACCCTGTCCCCCACCCTATCCCTAATCCTATTCCTCATCCTATCCCCCTCCCTATCCCTTACCCTATCCCCCACCCTATTCCTTACCCTGCCCCCCACCTTATCCCCAACCTAACCAAGCCTTACCCCACGCTATCCCAACCGTGTATCGGAGCTTTGCCTGTTTTTTTTTCTCAAAGAGTTGAATTCCACTGTGATTCAGATGCAAACGTGGGAAGTATAGTGCAGTGTTGGAAAGAAGCTTCTAATTTTTTTCCAAGATTATTTTTCCCGATGTGACTGAAGGATTTCATTCTTTATTTGTGGAAATTTCAGTCAGATAATGATTTTGTTTTGATCGACGTAAGTCTTTGTTTTTGAGTCATTTGGTTCATGTGTGGTCAATGTTTTCAGTGATAAGTGTGGGGGCATGGTGATTTTAAGTTGTTATGACTTGCAATTACACTTCGGTCATGAGGATTGTTTTTAGCGCTCATTTACGCAGTCGTCTAAAGGTTAGGTATTCATGTATTCATTGGGCATTGCGTTTAT